GATTAAAAAATGATAATTATTAAAATAATTAAAGCTGACTTGAAATAAAGGAAAGTAAAAAAAGTGGCTGTCTATCAATCCTGTCCTTTTATAGATTTTTTCCTGTGGCACGACAACCTTAATAGGTTAATCGGCAAAGCCTTGATTTCGGCCGGTTTCCCCTCGATTATATGTACTAATATTCTTAGAAAATCATAACAGCGAATATGATAAGATCTTTATGTGTTCTTTTTATTAACCTTGGTGCCTTAGAATTGGTGAAACCTTTTTAACTAAGCACAAACATCAATGTAGTAAAAAAATGTGACAATACAAATTAATAGCCTTTGTTCGAATTTTGTATGGCTAGTTAATTTTGTTAATAAAAGAGGGGACAATTAAAATTGATTGATTAATTATGTTGTAAATTACTTATTTTAACGAGTAATATGTTACTTTTGTGAGTAACGATAACGCAAATTACTATATTACTTTAAACATTTTCTTAAAAAATATGGAAATTTTTTTTTATTATCATATATATATATATTTTTAAATTTAATAAATAATTTAAGCAGAATTATTTTAATTCAGACCACCAAATTTCTTCATTTTTATTTATTAAATTTTTGTTGTTGAATTTTATACAGTTAAGATATAATCTAATTAATTTGTATCAATCAAGGTATGGTGATTTATATTCTCCAATAATATATTTTATAAAAAATATATCAATAGTACTTATTTCTTCATATGAAAATGATTTAACTCTGCCCTAGCCTCAATATGAAACATTTTTTACAAATAACAGAAGGACATTATTATAAGTGATACAACAATTAGCTAGTAACGTGCTTCTTTTTTTGAAGTAACTTTTACAGCCCTCGTTCATACAAATTTAATGGTTTGGGTTAGGTTCGGTTTGGATTCCTGATAGATTTACTAGCAGAGTTAATAATCAAGCAAAACTTAGATATGAACTGCAAAGATTTTGTAAAATAAAATTTAAAAAGGAGCTAGTACTATACAGACATTTAAACAAATTAATTAAATTATAAAAAGGAAAAGATAGTATATCAGCCCCGAAAAGATGTGTGATCCTTTAATATTTTTGTTCTCAAAGGGTGTCGACAAAATTTTTAATTTAGATCCAATGTTTATTACAACTACAGTCTTCAGGAATCACGACCCAATATTAAAAAGACCATCCTAATTTTGCATGGCAACTCTGATTGTGAATTTAAACTGCAGGAAAATACCAATACATCATTTTACAAAAAATATAATAACATTTATTATATTGCATTCCTTCATATTAAAAATGAGTCTCTAGAAATATTAAAATATTTGTCATTTTTCTGCCCTTTTTTCCTATACATCTTAAACTTAAAAAGAATACAATCTTAGCCAATATTAATCTGACTAATATCCAATACATCAAAATTAAATAATTGAAATTTTATATCAAAATAAATTGTAGAACATTTTTTACTTCCTTAAAATGGAATATCATATCATGAAATATTTTTAGGGATATATAAACATTCTCTTTATGTGGTATTTATTCATTATTATAAGGGAATATTATAATTAAAATAATGTAAAAAAATATTTGCTATCAAGATAGTCTCACAATGTTTAATTTTTTATACAAGGGAATATCTCTTACTGAAATAATTTTTTTCCTTTATGTGATCTCATTTATTTTCCCAAGTTTAAATTTGATAAGGAATTATTAGAAAAAATATAAAAGTAAAATAGATAAAAAAAATTTTAAAAAATATCATTTTGTTTTAGTTTAGACTTTTAGATTTACGCATTAAAATTTAACCATTTGCAATATTTAAAAAAAAAAAAATATTTTAATTCAAGCAATTAATCGTAATGTGCTCCAATCAGTTTAAATAATGTAATATGATTTAAAAATTTATAAAGCATAAAATATGTCTCTTTTTATATTAAAAAATAGTAATACGCCAACTTGCGGATTAAATATCATAAATTTATAGTTTTTATGTGAATCAAATTTAATATAATTATACTCAAGGATTTAAATCATAGATGTAGCCAAAATCTTCCCAATAAAGGGGGGAATTAATAAATTTCTGAGAGGCTACACCCCCAGGCCTTCTTTTGGCGGACCTTCGGTCCGTTTTTGATTAGGTTTTGGCCGGGTTTTCTTAGTCTATATATAGTTAGAAAATATTTTTTATAGTATAGGAGGTTAATTTTAATAAAAATAACTTATCATTATTTAAAATGAACTAATCAGAAACAATTTTTATTATTAATGAATTGTTATAAATTCACTATTTGATCAGTTTTAGATTGAGATTCACCAATAACAACTAATAAAAATTATGTTAATTTTCAATTCAATACTAATCTATATTTTACCTCAATCAAGGCCTCTTATTTTTATGGAATTATTATCTCTTTAGCATCACTAAAAATAAATATTAATAACTTTATAGAATTCACCTTCATCAATCCTTTTCAAATTTATTCTAATTCTCTTTTGATATATTTTTATGATTGTTTTACTTAATATTTCTAATTTTCACTTGAAATTAAATAACATTTCTTGAGAAGATCTTGGTACAAAATTAAATATTTATAGAAAATATGACTTTTTTCATTTCCATTCTTTACAAGGTATTTTCGGATGTTCATAATATTGAACTTGAAAATAAAATTGTATTGTGGGTTAATATTTTTTAAAGTTTATTTAATTTATAATTTAATTTTATAAATAAATTTATAATTAAATTTCATTTTTATTTAAAATATAAATTAAAGTTATTCACTTTATAAAAAATTTTTTTTTTATATATTATATTATTTAGTTATTTTAAGGACACATTTAATAGTATAATATATAAAATTACAATTTTCTTAAGACTTGCCTTTGTTTTATATTCCATTTCTTAAATAACATTTTTGACTTTTTACTTTTTTTTTAATAAATGCTTTTTTCCAAAAAATGTGAATTATAGTCATTAGTTTTAGTTTAAAGAATTATTAACTTTTACATCTTTCAAATTATTGTTTCAGATATATGCATACATTTTTAGGGGAACCGGGACTAGGGAGGGAGCTAAGGAGGTAATTTTTTATTTGCTTAAAATGATATTCACAAAAAATGACATATTTCTGAGGCTACGACTATTATTAAAATCCTCATTAAAGGAAATATATGTATATTAATTTATTATAGAATATATCTAACAATTTTATTTTTATAACTTGTTTATATTTCTGTAGTTTCCCTTGGCTTTTGTAGTTTTCCTAGACATTTGCAGTGCTCTTTTAGTATTTAAAATTTGATATATAAATATAAATATTGGAAATATAGAATGCATAAAAGTATAGAATTATCGCATGTATATAAACTTGCAAGGTATTCACTAACTGGTTTTAAAATTTTTTTAGTAAATCTTTTGTAATTTTTAAGCATAAGTTAAAATCATATTTTTAATTTTCAAACTCTGCATTTTTTATCTATTTATCAATCAAAAAAATTCCAAATTAGTTTGGTTTGATTTGAATGAATTATATCGGCAAAAATATTCGTAACAAATTGGATCGACATAAAACAAAGTATGAGCATAACAGACTGTTATATATTTTTAAAAAAATCCTCATTATAAAAATTATCTTTAAAAAGATTTTGAATTATACTTATAGAATCGAGATCTCTAATCTCCACATTGGGTTTCGGAATCCCAACGAATTCCATATCTCAATGTCAAAGTCAATACGGCATATAATTTATTTATATTTTTAAACGTATTTAAATATTGATATAAAATATTTAAATATTGATTATGCGTAATTAATTAAATTTTATATTATATAAAATTTGTTTACTATAATTTAATTTAATTCAAAAATGGGAATAGTAAATTATCCTATTCGTTCTTTGAAATTTTAGTTTTTTTTTAAAAATTTTTATCAATTAATACAGTTATCACGATAAAAGGCGCAGTAAATATCAGAGGCCTTCAGAGGTAACATTTGCAAGACCCGGCTCGGTTTTTTTTGGAGCAAATTTTCAGGCCCATCCCGGATTTTTTAAAAATATATTATATATTTTTTAAATTTTTATAGCTAATAGGGGCTATTTAAAAGATTTGGTTTTAAAATGTATGGCCCGGTCGAGGTATTTTTTTAAAAAAAAAATTTTCAAGCCCGGTCTAACCAAGGTATTTAAAAAAAAATTAGGCCCGGTCCAGGTATATTTAAAATATAAAAATATGACCTGGCCCGTGTACCCGGACCGCATTGGGCTTAAGGCTGGGCCTGCAGGTCTCTGACAAATATTATGTTATGAACTAAATCCTATAGTATTTTTAAAAAATGTTCAGTATTTTTTGATCATTATATATTTTTTTTTAAATCAAATATTTCTATTGTTAAATTCTAGCCTATAAATGGTTAGAATAGAAGTATTTTTAAAATATTTGCTTAAATAAACTTTTTGTTAAAATTTCCAATTTATTAAATCATCTTTAAATTGAGGATTAATATTTTGAATGTCTTGTTCTAAAGAAAAAATAAATTTAAAAATGTAGAATAACATCTATCTCTTCATAAACAGAAGCCTTATTGGATTCTATAAGCCAACCTATTTATTTTGCATCAGAATATATTTTACAAATTATTTAATTCCATAATAATAGTATTTTAATGCAATCTATTTCAAAAAAAATGGTGTTGGAAATTAGGATAAACGCGAGTGAGGAATTTCATAAAGAGTATGTGATTATCTATTCTAATCAGAACTTTATTTATATGATTTAGCACTCGACTCGCACCATGATAAGCCCATTGTCCAAATAATGTAAGGTAGTAGAATATATTTCTAAAAATAAATATTTACTTTACCCTTTGTCGAAAAATAAATTATATTTAAGAAAAGTAAGGTAAATAATTTATTTTTAAGTATTTTGTAAACAAATCAAATATAGGAATATAATTTTTTTTTAAATAACCCAAAATTTATCCTCGTACCTTTTACCATGTTAAATAAATTATCTAAAGACCTGAATGTTCTAATCAATAAAAGACGGTGCTTTTATTTAATAACTGGGATATTTCTAACGATATTGATTTTTCAAAATGAATATATTTCAAATCATTCTACTAATTTAATACGAGAAGTTTACAAAAAATTACGGGGAAAAAAATCAGAATACTCCACCTACTACAACGTTACCGAGTCAAAAATACCAAATCAAATTCTGGCTGGATCTGACATACCTTTATTAACCAATGTAACACATGATAAAACTAAAAATATTGTTACCAAGTCAAAAATACCAAATCAAATACTGGCTCGATCAGAAATACCTCTATTAACCAATGTAACACACGATAAAACTAAAAATATAATATTATGGACTGCGTTTCACAGTGATATTACATGGGAAATCAAAGAGCTAGGAAGAACCCCGTTCAAAAATTGTGAATATACTTCGTGTCATATTTCGAACAATAAAACTAATTTTTCAAATGCAGATGCCCTTTTATTCCATGAAAGGGATATAATAAACTTCCAATATCCATTAAACCATCCAAATAACCAAATATGGATATTTTTTAATCTGGTATAAGAAAATTTTTTTATCAAAATTTAGTCCTTAAATTAAATGGTGATAATTAAATTTTTTGATTTATATACTATATAATAAATATAATTCTATTCTCTTAATATGATATACAAAATTTGTTATAAAAATCTTAATTCAAATAAGAAAAGAATTATGATGGATTATATAATTTGTTAATTTATTGTTTTCCTTAACGTTATAATTTAAACAGCTGCGGCGAATTGTTATTTTTAGTGGCGTTAGTTGGTGCGACAGTTTTTCTCAATTTTACTAATTATTTGTGAGGAGAACATAATAAATTTTTAGGGATCCAAACCTAACTGTTACTGTATATTAAACTCTTTTATTTACAAAATCCAAATTGAACCGTTAAAAATATTGGCCACTCGAACCTGAACCGCTAAAAACTATGAACTGATGTAAACCAATTGATATCTTAACTCATAATAAATAATCTATTCATTGTAATTGATAAGTTTCTATATATTACAACGCCATAATTTAATCATTTTTTTTGACCTTGAGCCACGTCGAAGTCTAAAAAATGAACTCAACCCAAAATGTGCATCGTTTATTTAACCTCGTTGCGCCCTTTTTTTCACCCAATCCTCTACCCAATCCAAAAATAGCCTAATTTTTTGACTCGACCTAAATAAAATCTAATAATAGCTCAATCCTGGTATATGATTCAAATCAATAAATAATACTTAGATAAATAATTATTGACACTATATGATTATAATACATCATAGAGAGATTTTTTTTCCCTTGAATGAGGGAAAGATAAAATAATTTAATTTACCCCCTCCCTTACAAATATATAGAATAAACACAGGATTTATATCAGATCTAAAAATATTCTCGTATTTAATTAAATTATCGAACCAAAAGACAACGGACATTTATTTTTATACAATATTTATTAATAATATTCATCTCTAACTAATGTTTATGGGTTGGATATAATTCCAAATTGTGATTATTGCTAATATTAAATTTCTTTTGTTTTTGATAATATATTTTTTGAAGAAATGAAAAATTACCATAAACCATACTATACTTAATGAAAGTTGTCTTGTAAATTATTAAAGAATTTGCAAAGGCAGGTTAAAAAATATTTCAAACATTTAGATTTAAAAATTAATTTATTATTTTATAATATTACAAAATTTTAACAAGTTTAAAGCAGGGATGAGAACCATTCTGAACCCTGTATTTTTGCTGAAATTAGTTTAGTGTAATATTTTAATATGAAGGCTTAAGAAGGTTTTTTTAAAAAAAAACCATAAAATTTTAAGAAATTTAATATATTCCCTGAGAACAGCCCTGAAAAATTTAAACAAATAAAATTTACAAACAATTTTTATTTATAAAATAATTTATTATATAAAATGTGGCAAAATTTTAAAATAATTCTTTATATGTATAACAAAAATATAATATGATTATGATAGGAGTCTCCTGTTCACACTTATGGAGATCTGATCTCTTACGATTATATTTTCAATTGGACCGCTACTTATACACCACAATCTGATATATACAACCCATATGATATTACTGTTATGAAAATCAAATCTAAAGATAATAATACCGAAAATCATAAAAACTATTCGAATGGCAAGTTAAAATTGGCTATCATTGTTGTGAGCAATTGTAACACAAAGAACCACCGACTTGGTAAGAGCAATTTAATTTATTATATAATCCTACCTGGCTATTTTTATTTTAGGGGGGCACCGCATGATTTATGCGCAAAATTTTTTTCCCCTTGTTTAAATGATTCGTTCTGCTATCGATGTTGGTAAATAATAGGCCTATACAGAAAAATTATATATTTTGTTAAACCCTTAGAAGGATCTTAATTTGTTACCACTTACAAAGGATTTAATTTCGGTTAGAGAGAATACTTTTCATTAAACTACCTAAATATTAAATTTAAATTTTCTAAGTAAGTTATATTTTATTTATAATAGGAACTAATTCAATTCGGTAAAATACTAATATTGAGAATAATTTTAAAGCTATATAATTACTGATTAAATAAGAGAAATACATTGAGTGAATGACTACTTTTATTTAGAATTTTATGAATTGCAGTGCCTCAATATATGAGTAAGATATTTTATTATGAAATAATACTAAACAAAAATGTATCATAATTTTTATCCCCTTGAAAAGGTCATATAAAAGGGATCTACAATAGGGCATAGGAGAAATTATTTATTTATTTTTACTTCAAAAAAAAAATGTTTAAGATTTAATCAAGGAAATACGAAATCATCTAGATTCAATCCAAAATAAGAGTATATAATAATTTATTTATTTTAATTACATAATATATGCATTGATTTTAAATTCATCCAGGTTTGTTCATTCATCAAATTTTAAATTTGAAAATGTTGCAATCCTACCCCAAAAATATTTTTGGACTGGGACAGACAACTTGTTTAAAATATATTCACGGGCGGGTTTAAAACTTACAATTAGGCAATAATTAATTATTCGGGCCAAAGTCAAAAAAAATTTTCAACGGGTTGACCTCTGATTTAGATTTATAATGTCAAATTAAAGCAATAGTAGTTATATTACAATCAAGTTAATTCGAATCATAAAGAATATCGGTATGGGAGACCGGGGTTATATTGTCCATAAAAAATTGAGAGGCTGTGAAAAGGAGGAGAAATAATTTATCAAAATAATTTTGATGTTATTTTATTCTTTATATAATTATCTACGGTAGAAATTAATATCTAATAAAAAAATATTATATATTTTTTTAAATTTAAATTTTAAAAAAATGAAAATTTTTGAGTCATGAAAAAGAGACGGGGGACGTATTATCCTTCTGTGGGGCATGTTTTAGACTATCATTTTCTAAGCATTTTATTAATTTTTTTTCATACAAAAATCATAACAAACATATAATATTAACATACAACACATTTATTACATATAAAAAATGGATTAAAATCACAACATGATCCAGCCCATAAATGACAATTACGGCATTGGAACCAATCTTCATTATGGTGGTGAGTTTGATAGTTTTTGTGGCACACTGAACAAAATTCTTTTTTGCCAGCATTCATATTTAAACTTTTTTTATTATTGGTTTGATTTTTTTTCCAGATTATTAGTCATAGATCTGGCTATTTTTCTGTAAGGTGAAGAGGTTAAAATGGCTGAAGTCATTTGATTACATGTTGTTTTTTTAAATATTGTTGGATGGGGACTAATAATTTCTGGAGCAAAATCTTTTTCCAAGTGAGAAGATGATGGAACAGGACTATCACTGACAGATGGTTGCGAAATAATTTCAGATAAATTTAAATTCTCATTTAGGATCGTTATTATTATTATAATATAAAGGATTAGAATTTTCGTCATTAAAAATTATAGTATTTAGGGGCCATATACCTGAGGATTCAAAACCCTTTTGGATATTTGAAGCTGAGGTGGCTTTTGGAAGGACATCCTTTACTACTCTAGGGATATCATATATAGTAAAACTTTTCCCTGGATGCATTCTAACCCAAGCATCCAAGGCACTGTTGTAATATTTTTTTAGAGGTTCAAAAACAGTTCTATCCAATGTGGCTATACTTGTAGCCTCTGGTGTTCTCAAAGAAATAGTTGGATTTCTTTTAATAAATGCTCCAAACCAGTCTTCACCAGCTGATTGAGTTATTTCCCAAGATTTTGGTACTTGTAAACTATACCTCTTGGCCATTTGATAAGCTAAAACTCTAACCTAAATTTAAACATAAGACATTAAATTATTTATATATTAAGGCAATTTAATTAAAATCCTAATTCTTAAATTTTATTCTGAATTTATTTTATAATTAATATAATAAAATATATCATACATAATTAAACCTCTAATGTATAGGTAAAAACCAAAATATGTTTTAATGCATGATATAATTTATGCTGAATCAATGAATAAATCATTTTAAAATTAATATACATGCAGCATCATTTTATTTTAAATATATATCATACACACATAATTAAATATTTAATATATAGGTAAGATATGATTTAATGCATGATATAATATATATAATGCTACAATTAATAAATCATTTTAAAATTAATATTAATACATGGCAGCATCATTTTAAAATTAATATATATACATGGCAGCATCATTTTATACATAAATGACAGCATCATTTTATTTACATATATATCATACACACTTAAATAAATATCATTCTAATGTATAAGTTAAATTCTTACTTTAAAGTATTTTATAACATATAATGTTAATAATTTTAAAAAATTTTCTCAAGTTTATTATTATTTAACTAAAGAAATACCATGGCATAAATTTAAAGATTATAAAAAAATTCATTTTACAGAGATATATGATATAACAAAGGATTAAAATACTTATTTAGGGCATAATCCTAAAAATAATCTTGATCCTTTAATTAAATAATCTGTTAATTTAGCTTCTTGAATAGGAGAAAATACTGATCTGTGAAGATATAGCTCTTGAAAATCTTCATTCCTTTTGAACAATTTATTATACCTCTTAATGCTTAGTTTCTTAAATATATACTATTTAAATATATAATTATACCTCCCATAACTTAAATTCGTATTCATGGTTATAACTGTCAAAGGTATCTTATCTTTCAGCATTTGAAGAATACTTACCTTTTGATTATCATTATTTTCTTTGTTAGTTTTTCTAATATATGTTCGAACCATTTTACAAAATCAGAACCAATATTTTAATGAATGTATGTAAAAGGAAAAGACGCACCCCGCTAATACCTTCCCCAGGTCCACAGGATCATTTAAAAATTAAATTTTAGAATATTAAATTAACATAATGATTGTCAATATTTTTATATATGATAAAATGGAGATTTTTTTATCATTTAGAATTTATATTAAGTCTGAACAACTTTTATAAAAAAAGTTATTCGTGAAAATGTAAAATTTAAAAAAGTTACTTTGGGTATGTTGAAACTTAAATTTGCATTTAAAATTTTTCATGAGCAATTTTGTCCGAAACAATTTTGAACCTACTTAAGCACCTTATTATAATACATATTTGGCTTAAATTTCAAATCTTAAACTTTATTAATTTTTGAATTATTTGAGAAGGAAATACCTACCCCGGGAACACACTATCCCCGGTCTCCCCTACAAAAATAAGAGATCATATTCGGTTCAATTTGAATTTTTGAACCCGGTTTGAACCTTTTCGCACACAAGTTTATTAGGATTATGTAAAGAGAAGTATATTTCAAAATTTTATCATTCCCTAAAAAAAATGGATAAAAATAACATGTTGACAATGTCAAATTAGATCATGGGGTTGATTTATTTTTAAGTCCATTTTGCGCATATTGTTTTTTTTAATAATATTCTGTAATGATGTTATTTATATTGTTAGCCAGTGACGTAATGGAGTTGGGTTTGTGTTAGGATCCCTCCCGGACCAAATAAATTTACTATTGAATTTTCATCAATTTTTCTATAATTGTGATGAAATATATTACCTTTTATCAATTAAATAATTAATATAAATATTACTACTCAAATATGGGCAAAATAAGTGTAGAGGATAAATAGTTATAAATTTCTGTTGTGGCTAATATAAATCATTAATTGATTTAGTGTTATATTATTTATATTAAGTTTTTATATAGTTCAGCATATTTCAATATACATTATATTAGAACATGTTGTAAATATATCACGTGAAGTAAAATAAATCAACTGGATTTTGGTTTATATTTCGCTACCTATTGTATATCATATCAAAAAATAAATTGAAAGTAAAAATTAAATTATGATAATTTATTAAAAATTATAAAAATTTTATAATAATGACAACCAACAGGTTAGAAATAAAGAAAAAAAAATTGTATTCGTTTTATTATGTGGAACATTAATAGATTTATTTTTACATTATTTATATAGTTATATGTTTACAAAATAACTTATACACTACTTGTAAACAGCATCTACATGGCATGATATTCATCTAAGTAAATCCTCCTCATAAATCTATACTTATCCGCTTAAAAAATTTTCGCCCATCATTAATTACATGTTTTTAATAATAATGGCCCTCCCTTCATATATTTTAAGAAAAATAGCTATAAAATTATCATTGCTCTAACTGTCAAATATCAAAAAATTGTGAATCTAAAAGATTTATTTTTTAAACCATGAATTAATCCCCCTTATTTACAATGAATGCATTATAATAGTTTATTATTTGGCATGAATATGAGTTTGATGATAGAATGCCTACCCCTTTTAAATTACATTTAAAAACAGAGTAGAAAATTTGCAGAATTAAGTTTTATTTTAAAAAATAATGCATATATAATTGTATATGCAATACATGGATTTGGTCGATTTTTAATAATATCATTGTATTGTAATAGTTCTATAATCGAAGCTTGCCTGAAATATTAAAACTAGAGAAATAACAATCATTTAACCCTCCCCTACCTAACTTAATTTATATACTCCCATTTTCTATTTTATCCTTCTTTCAATATAATTTTATCGAAAAGAGACCATAGGAGTTCGCAGTCTAGAAGTGCAGGGAGCATGTTCTAATAATTTCCCCAATTCCACCCGAATATGTTATTCAAAAGAAGAACCAACAGAAATTTGTATGGAACGTTACCTCTCTCGTTACAAGTTTTATCTGGCGTTTGAGAACAGTAACTGTGTGCATTATATAACGGAAAAATTTTTTCGGGCACTCTCCATGGGGACAATACCTGTAGTGTTTGGAGCTCGATACTCTGATTATGTCAGGATAGCGCCACCATTTTCTTTTATTTTCGTTGCTTCGCCCCTGGCGATTGCTGCCGGAGTCATGGGTAATTTGTATTTGTATTATATATACATAAATTTTTTAAAAGATTATAACTATCCTGAATCATTCTGGTTTTAAGAAGTTCCTCTAATAATTTGTATTCTTGCGCTTTCCCTTTTATTTTTTTAAATTAAATTATTCACAGAATAGGACATTTTTGATGACTATATATTATATAATGATGTAAGGTATATTTATTTTTATCAAATTACCAGGGAATCAATCTCAAAATTCCATTCCAAACAATCTTGAGATACCAAAGAATCATCCATATTTTCATTCTAACAATACGAAAGAACTAGCTAAATACCTTTTAAAATTAGATTCCAATGACACACTTTACAATGAGTATCACGCTTGGAGAGAGGAATACATTTTAGAAGGTAAAAGGGACAGATATCTATGCTCAATTTGTGAACATCTACATCTCAAGGACATCCCTAACAAATCACACAAAATATCCGATTGGTGGAATAGAGAAAAGAATTGTAAAGAATAAATGGAAGGCATTCAAAATATCAAATTTAATTAATTCTCATAAAATATCTTTTTAATTGTTAATAGAAAAAACTCAGCTTATTTATATCAAATTTATAATTATTTAATTAAATAACAAAAGTTTTTTTAAATAATACCAAAAAGAATAAACATTACCTATGCTAGATGTTTTAATCTCCATTCATAGTCAAATAAGTTATAAAGAAGTAATAAGTTTTGGTAACTAGTCATAGTTTTTATAGCATATTATAAACACACTAAATTGATTAGTCACCCTTGTTAGAGTGTTCCGATATATGTAATGTCTTTTATTTCCAATGTAAAGATGATTTTTATTTCCAATCAATATACACAGCAAAATCATATAAACGACATAATATTTCATTGGATACCAATCATATGTAAAAAACAAAAACAGCATTCTTTGTCTTAAAACTCCTCAAAAAAATAAAAAAAATTCAAATTGATTTACATTTAATATATATAACGTAAATATATACAACTACAACAAGCCCACCCTTGACAGGCCACGTGTTACATTCCCAAAAAAGAATTTATTTCAATTAATCTCTAAAATTAGCTTCATTTTTTATATAACCTCCAAAATTCGCTTCATTTTTCATCAGTTTATTTTATACCACCATTTCATAATCTTTTTCAAGCTTTCAATTTGAGTCAGAGCTCCTTGCTACCATTACTCCCATATGTAAACCATTTTCTTTTCTTCCAATACATCAAGAGTTTAATGAAACATATATATGCATTTCTTTATAAAAGACTAACAATTTAATATAGATTATATCTAAATACAATTTTATTAAATGTACATAATCAAGGTTATATTTTCTTTCATAGAAAAATTTAATTTTCAAAAAAATAAATAAGATAATGGAAATGGACAATAATATTTTTAACATAATCATTGGACAGAGCGAAACATAAAAAAATGATTCTGTGAGATAATCACAAAAAATAGATTATATGTAAATATAATTTAATTAAATACACATAATTAAGATATTATTTTATTTCAAAAAAAAAAGATAGGGATAAGAATATACAGGAGCCTTCTTCAAATTTACACATTTTACATCTTAACATAAACACAAATTATGATAAGATTTCTTTAAATAAGAAATTCATATTATAGATAAACCAACGATATATCACTGAGATAAACACAACGTAATGTAATTTTTTTTTAGCAAATGAAATTTATAAGTTATAAAATTAGTTATATATACTAGGTAGGGATTTTTACAAGGGATAAAATATAGAAAGATATTAAAAAAATTAAAAGCCAAGAAATGGAGAGACCTTGTCAAATTAATAAATTTAAAATGAGGTAAATATATATGAAATAGTTGTAAATTTAATAAAAAAGACAATGAGCATATGTTTGATCTTTGTAAACAGAAATTTAATTCAAATAAAAAGAGTTGCAGGGCTGGTATTTTAATAAATAAAAATAAAATTTAGTTAAATTTAAGCCAGGATTTTATATATATATAGAGAGTTATTTTAATTAAGGAGAGGGTTATTTTAATAATTATAGGGTTATTATTTTGAAATTTATTAAAATGAAATATAAATCCAGAAAGGGGTATTTATTAAAATTATGAGGGTACAGAAGTAGAGAATTTATATTGAGTATTTAATGTGATAAAAGTAGAAAATTTGTTAAAAGAATATTTATGAAATAAAATTTTTGATGCAAAATTAGTGATTAGATTAAATTATGGCAAAAATATAAATTTGTATAATGGGTGATTTATAAAAAATATATAAAATGAGATTTTTATGGTAAATTTTTTATTTTATATAAACATTTGGAGCCTTTAAAGGATGGATATGTGTGTTGGTTCATTATTAGCCCATTTTAATTAATGTTGATATTATTAATGTGATATATGAAGAATTTTAACCATTTTTAATTAATGATATATTTATTATGGTGAATTATTGTGAATGTTAATATTATTTCTTTTGAATTACTCTACATTTTTAATTAATATGTCATATTTTGAATGTGTATTAATATTAGTCTTATTTAATTAAACATGCAAATTATTGGATATTAATTAATAAATATATATGTGATATATTTGAATTTAAAATAAATTTTATCATTGCGGGAACATATGATATGATTATTCATTGCTATATGTTAGAAGTTATAAGATATCTTATATTAGGATTTGTTTTAAATGAAAGTTGTAAAACATTTAAATTTAAAGAAATTTTATCATTATGACTGATTTTCTATGATAAGGTGTGAAAAAAAGATCATTATGATGTGTTGTAATTATGAGATGTAAAATATTTAAATCCTATTCCCATATTTAAAAAATTTGTTTTTTTCACTACTGAAATCTATTTATTTGTGATGGAGATATCCTAAGAATATAATTATGTAGAATTATTGTGCCACTGTCAAGGTTTAAGTGGAAGAATGAATTCAGAATCAAGCTGGCTTGATAAGTAATATGAGTTGGCTAGCTGAATTTGTTCCAGAAATTTTAAATCGCTCATGAGCTTATTTATAACCACAAGTAAATTATTAAAAAATGTAGTAATATATTTATAATTATGCTTATAATATTATATCTTTAAAATTTTTATTTTATTATATTAATAGTTTCTGTTAATTGTATGATTTATTAACAAGAGATTGTTATTTTATTTATATATAATTTACTTTCATATTAACATGAAAACCAATGATATATCATTGAAGAAAACAGATATCGCTATTAGAATATCTATTCTTATATTAGGATAAATATTTTTATAACAATCATTTTTTTTTAAAATTATATTATTGTAATTTTACCGTTGTTTGATTTAATAAAATACTATGAGCCCTAAAATCCCTACATGGTAAAGGATAGGGGCACCATCTATTGAAAGCCTATATATAGTGTAATTTAGAGTTTTTTAAGTTAAAAAAGATATAATTGCGAAAAAAATATTATGGATAGCTGTATTGACCCTCCCCTTTTCTATGATTTGTTGGTAAACTAATTATTGTGATTTCCTTCCTTACCCAATAGAATATAATAATTTATTATAATTACCTCTTACCGTTCACTAGAAATGTAAATTTTGTTGGATGCTAGAGTTATTTTTTTTTGTTGTTTTTTTCTTTATTTTAACTGATGCATGGTAAGTATTGTTTACAATTTGATGTTTTTAATATTTTATTATATTATCTTTAAATTGTTTATTTTTTAATATTAGTATTTTTTGTTAATTGTATGATTTAATTTTATTTAAACAATTTAACTTTGTTGCGAATTATATATTTATTATTTTACTAATATATAATTTAAATTAATTTGCAATTAATTTGTTTAACGAAAACATTATTTTTGTTAAAGGCTATTTTATTTTCCTTATTTTTATTATTCAAATACTTTCAATTAATATACTTTAAAAATACTATATATATATATATGTGAAGATTTATATTCTTACTAGCATTATATTTTTTTGGAAACTATTTGAAATAAATTATTGTTTAAGTCAAACTCTCTATGTAATAAAACAGGACCACACCTTTTCAAATGGCGGTAACAATGCGTTTCCTCTATGGTTCTCCACTTTTTTCTAGTGATGAACTAAAAATCAATTTAAAATAAAGAGAAAGATATAAAATTTTAAATTTAAATTAACTTTTTAAAAATTAATAAAATCCATCACTATAAATTAACAAAATAGTACCTACCTGACCTTTGCTGGGAAGTGGTTAGCTATCTATGGCACCATGTCAAGCCAGTCTGCAGATCCTATTAAAAAAATATATAAAATAAAAATGCTGGCTTCTTGCGTAAAAAGAATGTAATGATTCAAATATAAAATATATATATTATTTTATTATATTTTGTTTACCATTTAATCAAGTATGCATTATGATATTTTCATATTATCATATTTACAACCTAATGAAACCTAGTCACCTAGAACTTTTATGTTATTCTTATTATCATATTTTATTTAGTTAATTAATTATTTATTTATCAATATAAATAATATTTAAGTTAATTATATGCCATCGGAATATTATATAAATTAAAATAAAAAATAAAGCATTTTTTTAAAACTTCAAAGGTCATCGTAAAAAAATATATATATAAATAAATAAAAATTGGTAGACAGGAATTTTTCAACCTTTAAAGGCTATCGTATAAAAAAATTTTTTTAAACAAAGAACTTAAAATTTTAGAAAAGGATACTGTAAATTTAAGGAAAGAGAAACTCACTTGTTGTAAAATACATAAAATAAAAACAAATAAAGTATACATATGAAGCGAAAAATGGTAAATCTTATATTAAAGTAATCATAATATTAAATTTTTTTTATAATGTCTAAAGTTAAAGATGGATTCCCCAAATCTGTGTAAAACATTTACATAGATAGAATTAGTAGGTAAAAACAAAATCGCCAACTTATATTCTAACGCAATCTTTCCGATAACATTTATATAAAACTATAATCCATAAGTTCTGAGGCGGAATTCAATAAAGATGATTCTATAATAAAAAAACTTAAAATAATGTATTCTCTAGAGAATGTTAACGCGAGTGCGAGTCAATCTAAGGATGAGAAATTTATAAAATGGGCGACTAAAATTTGCCATTTATGTAAGGAATGCAATTTTACAGAGGATAGAACTATAAAAAAAAAATCAAAATATACACCATATTTAAAGATATTAAATTTAAAATTAAAGATTTTGACAAAATAGATGAGATAATAAAAATAGGCAGTGAGTTAGAAGATATTGAAACAAATATTATTTTTTAAAAAGCTATTACTGGTAGTGAGTTAGAAGATATTGAAACAAATATTATTTTTCAAAAAGCTATTACTAAACTACAGCCAAAACTACTATATATATCGCCATCAGAATTATAACAGAGACAAGAATTAAAACAGATTTGATACTTATTACAGACCTTATGCCAACAATTTGCAAAGAAATTACCCAAGACATGAAAACAATAATCACAGATTTAATCAATACAGCTACAACAAAAAATTTAACAACCATTACAGACGAAACAATGAGAAGTTTTACAATGGAAATTATGTAGAAATTTTGACAGGTATAATCAAGGTTCATAACATGCAACAATTTAGATATTACAATAATAATGATTCACAACAAAGTCAAAACAATAGAGATTACAGACAAAATTCACAATCATCCCTGACCATAAACCCTTGATTTATATTTTCGTCAATGGTTTAAAAGAAAATGCAACGTCAATGCGAATACAAAAATGGAATATAGCAATGGGAGATTATGATTTTATAATATTCTATAGAACAGGAAAATACAACACAGCTCCTGATTGTTTCTCATGATTACCACTTTGTAAATTATGAAACTATCGATGTTACTGACACCACAAAAAATGATTTATGGGACATTCCAATAAATTTTAATAAAGTATTAGATGAAACACATAAAAACAAAAATATTAGACATTATTAACGATATAATAAAAGTTGATGGTATGAAAAATAAATCATACAAAAGCATGTACGAATTAAGTATCGTAAACAATTGCTTATTTAAAGAAAAAAGAATTGTTTCCTGTAGGCATGAGAAAGACAAGGCTGCAAGAATTACATATGGGACATTTGGGTGCTGGAAATAAGCCAAACTTGAAAACCGACATTGATCTAGAAGTAAAAAATTGTGAAACATGCAACATCTAGACAGTAAATCCAAATTCAATTCAATATCCCTGTAGAATAACTTCGAAACCTTTCGAAAGACACATAGATTATACGGGACCTTTTTTCAAAAAAAAATTTTGGTTAACAATAGATGCCTATAGCAAATTCCAAATAATAACCCCGTCAAATCAATCACAACTGAAATCACTTTAATAGAACTAATGAAAACAATTGGCATTTTTGGGAATACCTGAAGAAATCGTGACAGATAACTATATGAACTTCACAAGCCAGTCGTTTGAGAAATTTTGCCACGCAATAAAACTAACTCTGAGTGCAGCTTACCATCAGTCCAACGGACATATAGAAAAGATGGTAGGGGCATCCAAAATGAGCATGAAAAGAAATATTGTGAGAAAGAATACAGATTTTGACAAGTAAGATAATAATTAAAGGGGACAATGTGTGGTACAAAACATTTTTTGAAAACAAATGTAACAAAGGTTTGTCGTTGAAAAAGAGAGTAAATTATTATTCAAAATCAACACTTAATGCAAGATAATTAGAGGACACATCAACTAAATAATGAAGAGAACATGCGAGTTAAACGGTAATACTCTAAACAATGATCCTATAAGAATTTTCTTCAAAGAGGGAAGAGAAGTAGAGGAATGAAATAAAAATATACCAAGACCAAAAACAGTTGCCAATTCATTTTAAAGATTATATAATGAACGTAAATGGGTATATAAATTTTTAGAAGGATAAGTTATGAATAATATGCTATTTAATAAACATTAAAAATTAAATAAAACGCGAAATTCGTATGTGATTCCTACATTAATTATTCAATACAAATTATTTATTCCATGATTCAATATTCAATTCGAAATATTCTATGATTTAATATTCCAATATACAATTATCATTCACATTCTATATATTATTCTGATATAAATGATTTATTCCATTATTCATTAATTGATTAACTCTTATTTCAATTATTCCAAAGTTATTTTATTCGAGCTAAATTGATGCTGATAATAATTAACAAATAATAATAATTACAAACAATAAAAATAACTACAAATGATAATGAATAATGAGATTACGATGATCAAGATAATGAGAAATTGATGAACAAGTTGATATGACCAGCATGATAGGAACAACAGTGACGAATTGACGGGGAGAATAGCTCAAAGATAGAGGTGTTGCGAATTAAATATTTATTATTTTCCTATTATATTATTTAAATTGATTTGATCGACAAAAAATATTGTATCAATTTTATTATTTTTGTTAAAGGCTATTTTATTTCCCATATTTTTATTAATCAAATACTTTTAATTACTTTATAAAATACTAAATATATGTAGATTTATATTATTATTAGCATCATTATTTTTTAAATACTATTCGAAATAAATTCTTGTATAAGTTAAACTCTCTATGTAATAAAGCAAAGACCACACCTTTTCAAAACTTTCATATTAACAAGAAAACAGATTTTTTATATCGCTATTTGAGTATCTTTTCTTATATAAAGATCAATATTTTTATAACAATCAGTTTTTTTTACTTTCAAATTATATTATAGGAATTTTACCGTTGTTTGATTTAATAAAGATGCTACGAACCTTAAATTCCCTAAATCTATCACCTTTATTTGAATATTATTTGCTTACATTCAAATTCTTATCAAAAGTCTGATCTTTCATATTTCTTTCTTATTAATTTAATTTTGAATTTGTCTTTTTATCGCCTAGTTGGCACCAAATGTAATTTTTTATATTTTTTTTAATTATTATTTTAATCTTATTAATATAGTACTGCCAACACAACAGTTATTGTTTGTGAATTTATTTCACATTATCCTATAAAAAAAGATAATAAAAGGGATTCGAGCTCCTTAGAAATTTTGTCCATTAGTTATAAAAATTGATTATCTAGACATCTTTTACCTAACAATAGTATCAATATTCTATAAATATGAAACATTCTTAAAGAATAAAAGAATTTATATTAATATTCTCTGTGGATCCAGCTTATCATTATTATACCAACTATTCCATCGGGGGGACACATCAATTGGAATTCTTGTACATCCACTTATAGCCATTATTCTTGCATGAATTTATGGCTCCTATGCAATTTATTAATCTATCTAAATATTCTAATAGGAAAATGAATCAATTCCCTCTGAATATAGTATTTAATATATGGACTAGGCATCATAAATTAAATTTTTTCTTAAAAAATATTATTATTTATATTACGTTCTGGCAGTCGTCGTTCCTCTTCCATGCCTTCATTATATATTTTTTAAATTACATTATTCATTCGATGATAGTAATAGTTCTTTTATGACTTAGAATGAAGAAAATGAATTCAATTAAATTTAAACTTTCCTTTTTAAAGGCTATGTTTTTTTCTTTCTCAATATGAATTTCATTAAATTATATGTGAATTGGTGAATCCAAATCGGAGCTTCATATAAGAATTAGCATCGGCTCTCACAAGATTAACTCATTGAAATATTAAGTTATGATATTTTAATAATTTTATAGAATAAATATTACATTACCTTGACTTAAAAAAAAGGTAAATAATTTATTTTTAAAATAATTAAAATTTTTTTTTACCTATACCATGTTAAATAAATTGCCGACAAACCAAAATATTTTATTTACTAAAAGACGGTGCTATTATATAACAATTGGAATATTTATTACAATATTGGTTTTCCAAGATGAACATATTTTCAATTCTTCAAATTTCATAAGAGAAGATTACAAAAAAATTAGCCGAGAAAAGGCATTTTACTCGCCCTCCGACAACATTACCAAATTAATATCAAATCAAACACGATTTGAATCAAATATATCTCTATTAACCAATGTAACATATGATAAAACTAAAAATATAATATTATGGACTGCGTTTCATACTGATATTACATGGGACATCAAAGATCTAGGAAAAGCCCCTTTTAAAGATTGTGAATATACTTCATGTGATATTTCGAACAATAAATCTTATTTTTCAAATGTAGATGCCCTTTTATTCCATGTAAGGGATATAAAAGGATTCCCATTAAACCGTTCAAATAACCAAATATGGATATTTTTCAATATGGTAAAAAAAAAATTTTAATTAAAATTTAGTCTTTAAATTAAATGGTGATAATTGAATTTTTTGATTTACTTTATAAATAAATATATTTCTATATAATATATAAAATTTGATATAAATATCTTAATTTAAATATGGAAAGACATATGATGAATTTGTTAATTTAATATTATATTCTCCCCTTCACTATATAATTTAATCGGTGGCGGCGAAGTGTTCTTTTTAGTGGCGTTAGTTGGTGTGACAATTTTTCTCAATTTTACGAATTATTTATGTGGAGAACATAATGAATTTTCAGAGATCCAAACCTAACTATTAATCCGGTATATTAAACTAGATTATTTACAAAATCTAAATTGAACCGTTAAAAAGATTAATTAAGCATCCGAACCTAAACCGCTAATAAGTTCTAATAATCTATTCTGATTTGTAAGTTTCCTTAGTGTTAAAACGTCATAAGTTACGTCTCCGACCCAAAATTCGGATCATTATTTTGATCTTGACCCGAGTAGAAGTCGAAAGAAACAAACCTGTCCCAAAATGTGGGTATTTATTTAACCCCGACTTATAGTTGGTGTTTTTTTTCCCACCCAATCTAAAATGATAGACTAATTTTTTACCCGACATAGATAATTTAATACGAGTTCAATCCTATCCTTATATATATGATTTAAAAACAATGACAATAATTATTAAGTTAGATAATTATTTAATAAGTAAAACTTAATAAGATAAATATTGATAGATAATATATGATTATTAAATTATATACTATCCATAATTATTTATTAAATGAATAATATAGACATAATCTGTAATTATTATAATTACACTAATGATTAATATTAATTTTATTGATTCCGAACTCCAATTATGATTAATTCTTTAATGGTAAATTTGAATATTTATTTATTTCATAGAATTTTGCAATATTCAATAAATTTGCATATTTCTAAAAAAATAAAATACCCTGTGTTTAAAAATATATGTAACATCTTTAAAAAAAATGGGATTAGATTATATGTACACGAGTGTTGATAAAGTAACGAGTTACATGTTTGCAAAATAAAGACTATTTTAAGAATGTAAATAATAATTATAACTAGTTATCTTTTAACTTTTAACAACGCTAGTGTATACTTATAAAATGAAATATATTAATGTACATAACAGAAATGAAGTCAATTAGCTTGGTTAAAAATTGATATTAATGCGGAAATAACCATAATTATAAGATTGAATTTTTTTTTAAAAAAAAATATTAAAAATCATTTATAAACTTGTTATGTCATATTAATAAAAAAAAGGTATCATTTAAAATAAACATATATCATAGACAGTTATTTCCTTGAATGAGGGATAGATAAAATAATTAAATTTACACCCACTCCCCCCTCCCCGCCCTACCTTACAAATAATAGAATAAACACAGAATTTATTTTTGATTTAAAAAAATACTACTCTCATATTTAATTAAATTATATGATCAAAAGATACCGGACATTTTTACCCTAATTTTTATACAATATTTATTAATAATATTTATCTCAGAACTAATCCACAACACGGAATAAAATTATTAAAAAATTGGCTCAATCGCAAAAAAGATTAAATTTTTATTTATGAACGACATTTTGATTAACTTTTTATATCATTATAAAATTTTTAATTTTTACATTTTATTGTGATTTACATACCGGTTTATATAGCTATAATATTTCTTAACCGTATTATATTCGCTCTTAACATTTTGTTGATATTTTATTATTTGCGTTTGAAATTATCATATTTTCAAATATGATTGGTTTTAATAAATTTTATAAGATGATGAGTTCTAATAAATTTTTATTACCCCACAAAAATTCATTTCAATATAAAAAAAATTATGCCCCCTGTAGAAAATTCTTAGCTATGTGCCTGCTATGACATTATAGCTTGATAAACTAATCATTTAAAAAAACACCATATTTTCTTCTGGATTATATATTTGAAAGAAACCTTATACCCATTGTCGCGTAAGGCATAAAAACGCCAATTTTAAAAATTCGGTTTTGAACCACCTTATAGCGACTTCTTATATTGGCTCGATTATTTTAATATTTGACACCGTAAATTTAATATACTTATTTTTAAATTGCGAGATGGTTAATAAAACTTCTGTTAAGGCGAGGCTAGTGGTATGCTGATATCAATTTTTAAATATCCAACAAAGCCTTTCTAATATTTTGACAGAATTGTTAGTAATTTACATATATCGAAATAAAACATTGACTTTCTTACAATTAATATCTTAAATCTTTATTTTGATATTATTTTCTAATTAAATTATTATAATATGATTTGGAAAAATAAATATAATATAATTAGTTTAGTTTAGTTTAATAATTCAATATGAAGGCGTAGGAGGTTTATTTAAAATTAAAACATAAAATTTTGGGAAATTTAAAACATCTGAGAATATCCCTGAAAAATTAATTATTAAATAATTCTTTACATATATTACAAAAACATAATATGATTATGATAGGAGTCTCCTGTTCACACTTACGGAAATCTGACCTCTTACGATTATATCTTCAATTGGACCATTACCTATTTACCACAATCGGATATATACAACCCATATAATTCCACTGCTATGAAACGCAAATCCAAAGTTAGGAATACCAACAATATAAACTATTCGTACGGCAAGATAGAGTTGGCTATCATTGTCGTGAGCAATTGCAACACAAATAACAACCGACTTGGTGAGATCAATTTATTTTATTTCAAAGGGTTTGTCTTACCTAGCTATTTTTATTTTAAGGGCACCGTCTGGTTTACACGCAAAAAATTTTTCCCCCTTGTTTAAATGATTCGTTCTGCTTACAATCGGTGTTGATAAATTATATATTTTGTCTAACCCTTAGAAGGTCATGATCTTAATTTGATACCACTTACAAAGTAATTTCCACTCGAGAAAAGTAATTTTCATTAAATCATCTAAATATTAAAATTAAATTTACTAATTAAGTTTTGTCTTATTTACAATAGGAACTAATACAATTTAGCATTTAAAAACACCAATATTAATAAAATAAGATTTTATATTTTTAAAGCTATAAACATATTGACTAAATAAGATGGAGATGCACTCAGTGGAAGGTACACTTTTACTTATAATTTTAAAATTTCTACGCCTTAAAATATGGGTAGGGTATGATATTTAATACTATAATAAAAACAAAAATTGATCGTTTTTATCCCTTGAAAGGGTCAAATGAAAGGAATCTACAATAAGGCCAAGGCCTGATCAGGGTTAGTAAGGATAGTATAGATAGAAAGAACTGCATAAAGGTGCTAGAGTCGTTTTACTCCAAAAGTATAAAGCTAAATTCCACCATTTTTAAATTCTTTAAAGAAAAGATTCTTCATATCCTCAGCTCGACTTCACCATAAGCATATAATATAATTTTAACTAGAGTTATATTATAAAGAAATTGCGTATACAAGCTATACCTAATAATAGATACTATGGTATACGCCTATTCACCAATCTTGTCACCAATAAATTACATGAGACTGTTTAATTAGTTATTCAAAAATAGTACAACTTATTTTATTTTGCTATATAAATAAGTTATACAAATTATTTTAACCACTATCAAGAAAAATATTAAGCTTTTATATAAATCTTTCAAAGCCAAATTAAATATTTATGGAATTCAAAGTTAATCAAATATTGTAAGTGGTAGGGAACAGATATATGTACAAAATAAAACGGACTCTAGAAGCTATAAGTACTGATGTGTATATTAGATTAGGCTTAATATAAGGGAGGGATGAGATTAGCATTTTAAAAAAACATAACCCAAAATATATATTAATATTAAATCCCATCTTTGTGAGATCATCAGTTTTAGCTGAAATAGCTTGCCTTAATTCTATTATAAAGGTAGGAGTTAAAAGGGGTGGATACTATCGCTGAGGTATCAATTCAACATTTTTCACTGAATTTTTGCTCTTCGACTACTGAAAATTGGTAGGATATACGGATTTCTGGTGGAAGCATTGAGTGGATCTACTGGAGTGTAAGCAAGGAGCTACACTCTTTTTATGAAATTATTGAAATTTTATCGGAAACACATATCGTGAAGAATAGTGGTGGTTTAAATAAAAAAAATTTCATTGCGAAATTTTTAATAACCATAATAACAACTGCCTTATTTTTCTGTTATAGAAACCAACATCATGTTGTACCTTTTAATTAAAAAAGATAGTCGTAATGGATTTACTAATAAACAATATAATGTAAATTAAAAATTTATAGTAATATATTTATAAAAATGTTTTAAAAAAAATTAATTTTAACAAATAATTGAGTTCCTAAAAAGGAATAATAGTTAAATTTGAAGATATAAATGTGTATGTTCTATCTGAGGAATAGGAATTCCCTTGGTTCAGATGTTCAGATTTTTTTAAAAAAAATGAAAGGAACAAACTGTCCATTGATAGATATAGCTATTGGTCAGTCAAAATATAAAATTACTGAGGCTTTAATATGAAAATTTCAATAATCCCTGTATTTATAAATAATTATTATATTTCTAAATGTAGCGAAATATCTTTTCTATCTCTCAAATTTGAGTCTTAGGATTTTATTTTTATTCACGGTGGAGGGTTTAACAGGAATTATTTTAAGCTTTTTATCCCTGGATCTCATCATGATACTTTGTCCTATCCATAGAAGCAATATTCTCTATTTTTGCGGGGGTTATACATTTAATACCGTTAGTCTTAGGGGTTTCAACCTCTATAAAAATTAGCTCACCTCATTTTTAACCTTTATAGGATTAAATTTAATCTTTTTCCTCCATTTCTTCCTGGTCATAACAAAACTGTAATTAGTTTACCATAACAATATATATCAAATTAAAAAGATTTATTTTTTCTTTACAAAAAATGGTATAATAATATATTCAATTTTAAAAAAAATGTTTAAGAATTAATCGTGGAATTTCAAATTCATCTAGATTCAATCCAAGATAACAGTATATAATAATTTCTTTATCTTTATATAAATATGCATCCATATTGAATTTACTTAGGTTTGTACATCCGTAAAATTTTAAAATTGTACATGTTGGAATCTAACTCCAAAAAGATTTTTGGACTGTGCCGGACAACTTGTATAAAGTATTTTTACGGGACAGGTCTGAAGTTTAATTAAACAATTGGGTAATAATTATCCTTCATAATAAATTATTCGAGCCGAAAATCCTTTTCAAAAATTTTCCACGGTTCGGCCTCTAATTTAGATTTATTATGTCAAATTAAAGCAATAGTTGTTATATTATAATCAGGTTTGTTGAATTGCAACTTCTGAAGAATTATGCAAAGAGAAGCACATTGTATGATATTTTATCACTTCCTAAAAAATTGATATAGAGCTCTTCAATTAAATATTATCGATATTCTTTTCTGTCAAATATTTGTGGAGAGAATAAATTTTCTGATTGAAAACATTGATTAATGTCACTGTTATATAGCAATATATAAAAATTTCTAAAAATAAATTAACTTAAAAAGAATTAGGTTCAAAAGGTTCAAACCGTTTCACAAACCTTATTAAAGGCTTGGTGAGATTTTTTTTAATGGTTTAGGTTCAAATAATAAAGGCTAATACCAGTTTAACGGTGAGGTTTGGATATCTGGTTATAATTAAAATTACATCTAAGTTGACGATGACAAATTGGATGGTGGAGCTGGTTTATTCTTAGGTCCATTTTAAGCATATTGCTTTTTGTTATAATATTGCTATAATGATGTTATTTATATTGTTAAAATAATGTGATCAGTCAGTGGCGTAGCTAGGGAGGTGGGTTTGTGTTTGGACTCCAGCCAGACTAAATAAATTCACTACTGAATTTTCTTCAATTTTTCTATAATTATAATGATATATTTTGTTATGAAATGCGTAATGGTTACATTTATCGTATAGTAGGAGAAATGCGCCATAATTGGCCATGTTTGAAGACTGGCCACCACCCTTTAACTTTTTGTCTATTGGACCGATATCTCTCAAAATTGGTCAAAATGTGTATATTTATGATATGTACCTAACCTAAGTTCATTTATTGAATAGAGCAATCCAATAAAAAATATCTCAAATAAACTCTTTTTAGTACCTCTTTCTGGAAAAATCACATTACACATTTTTTTATTTGGTGAAAATATTACCAATTTAGATTACTGATATTTTATATAAATATTATCCGGCATTTAGCATTATTCACACAAAAAATTAGACTTTAATATCTAATAGACATATAAAGGCGCCTAATAATAATAGAGAGGTGAGAATTGTCTGGCCATGTATTGATTGGCCACAATTCGCACATTCACATATTCATGAAAGGAAAAGCTCGTGCAAAACAACATTCGGTGATATTTCAAATGAAGAACAAGTTTAAGAATGTTTAACAAATAGATAATTAAGATATTAATTTATAATATTATCATTAAATAGATGGTGATAAATTGAGATAATACTAATTAAATTAGTGTATAATTAATTTTTTATATAACAAAAAAATGTAGAAATATTAACATAGGTCTTTTACAAATATTTCATATTGTATTATTTTATATTTGGCCATAAAAACAGAGGAAGCTCTAACTTACCACCATAATATTATAATTCAGATTAGCCGTTTTATATATTCCCTTCTTTCAAGATTTGTTTGGTTAGCCAAATTTTTCCATAATGGCTCCTTCTATCATAGATTATTTAAAGTAAGCAAGTTATTATATAAAAAAATAAATATATATGTATATTAGAAACACTTTAGATAGTTTTTGATCAAAATACTTTACCCCAGTTAGTATATTATATTGGAATAGCTTACAAAATGCCTTTAATTTTTTTTACTTTTGTTATTTATTAATACGAATGTATGTGTCGTAATTTTTAAAGGGATCATGACTATCCGGGATCTACACGGGATTTAAAGGGATCCCTTTAAAATTTCAATTTTTTAAAGGATAAAGAACTATACAGCATTATCACGTTTTAATCGTGATAATTGTGAATCTTATTTTAAAAGCGTTTTCCACGAGTTTCATTGCGTTTTTTAATTTTATTGTTATTCATTAATTTTCAATGTTGTTTTTATTGGCCTTATGATATAAGATATGTCTAATATAGGGTATCAATCGATAGCTAATCAAAAGATCTGTTGAACTAGAGGTCAATCTTTCCCCCATAATGGGCGGGTCTAGGTCTTGGGGGGTCAGAAATATTTTTATTAACACAAAATATCGATATGGGTATCAAATAAAAGCTAATTTTAATATGGTTTGACTGAAAGTCTTTATTCTTGATATTGATAGGTATGACTTGGTCTGGGGGGTGGGGGTGGAGGGGAGGGGGTGTAAAAAATAATTTTTTTTGATATCAAATAAAAGCTAATTTTAATATCGTTTGATTGAAAGTCTTCAATCTTGGTCTTGATGGGTATGACTTGGTCTTGGGGGTGGAGATGGGGGGGGATGTAAATTTTTTTGACATGGGTATCAAATAAAAGCTAATTTTAATATGGGTTGACTGAAAGTCTTCATTTTTGATCTGGGGATGGGGGGAGTGTGTATGGAGGGGTGGGGGTGTACAATTTGATATGGGTATCAAATAAAAGCTCATTTAAATATCTTTAGATTGAAAGTATTCATTTTTTGTCTTGATGGTGCCAGGCCCTAGACATATTAGCAAAATGTCTAGTTGGATAGAATTTACAGAAATAAGAGAATGAAGAAAAAACAATTTTTAAAATCTTTTTTCGGTTCCAATCCTGGACTTGAAATATATAATTTGCAGTGTTCTATATTAGCACGATATTCCATAGCTATTTTTTAGTATCGATATCTTTAGCGTGCAACATATTTTTAAAAAGAGAGATAACGGTAGCTCGTTACTATATAATAGCAAAAATTATTATAATAATTTTATAATTAATTCGAAAATCATAATCTTTTTATTTATTAAAATTTAAATTTACATTTAAAAATATGCATTGTAAATATATTTTTCAAAAATATAAAAATTTTTAAATGTCAACAGTAGTGATTGATAATGAAAATAATTTTGGTACAGATCATATCGACAAAGGAATATCCCTTGAAAATGATGAATATGATTTCCTTTTCCTAAATTCACAAACTATTTTAATCTCGATAAAAAAATTAACACAGGGTATAAATTTTTCTATAAGATGTGGCCGAGGTTTTATCATCAAAAGTTGCTTCAAAGGTAATATATCAAACAAAAATATATCTTTAAAAAAAAAATTAGAAAATCTATAATGTTTTTGAGTTAGATGAGTTTATGTGATTTTATGGCCTAGTCTAAACATGCTATATTTCAACTGGCCATAAAATAGTGCGCTACATTTAAAAAAAAATTTCTACCCCCCCCCCCCCTCTACCTCCATCTCCCAGACCAAGTCATACCCATCAATACCAAGAATAAAGACTTTCAGTCAAACCAAATAAAAATTAGCTTTTATTTGATACCCATATCAAAAAAATATTTTTTTAAACCACATCCCCCCCCCCCCCAGACCAAGTCATACCTATCAAGACAAAGTATGAAGACTTTCAGTCAAACCATATTAAAATTAGCTTTTATTTGTTACCCATATCAAAAAAAAAAAAATTTACACCCCACCCACCCCTCAGACCAAGTCATACTCATCAAGACCAAGAATAAAGACTTTCAGTCAAACCATATAAAAATTAGCTTTTATTTGAAACCCATATCGATATTTTATGTTGATAAAAATATATTCGACCCCCCCCCTTAAGGCCTAGACCCGCCCAGTATGGGGGAGAGATTGACCTCCAGTTGAATAGACCTTTTGATTAGCTATCGATTGATACTCTATATTACACATACCTTTCATCATAAGGCCAAAAAAACAACATTGAAAATTAATGAATAACAATAAAATTAAAAAACGCATCGAAATGCGTGGAAAACGCTTTTAAAATAAGATCCCTCTTTATCACGATTAAAACGTGATAATACCGTATTATCATTCCTTAACTTAGAACCCTAATTTTTTATTTATCCCTTTAAATCCCTTGAAGATCCCGGATACTCATGATCCCTTTAAAAATTACGACATATGCATAATAAATAAAAATGTGAAAATTTGAATGCTAGTCAGGGTTTGCCGATATCAATGTAAAAAGTATACAAGATATGAAAATGAAATCCTGGCCCAAATTTTGTGTAGGGGTGGGGAATATAAAGGCAATAAAAATTATTTGGCTGAGCTCCCGCTAGGGACGCCACTGTTAAAATTTAATTAACCATTAAAATCGAATATAATATCTATCAACATTATCTATAATATTATCACATTTTATGATCGCCCGTCGTTCATCTCTTATAAATTTTATACTAAAAAATATAAATGGAAAAATGTTAAATATTCACATAATTTTTTAATCAGTTAAATTATTATTTTTATGAATAAATTAGAATTAAATATTGTGTCGTGTTGCCCCAAATCTAGAATGGATATTGAATGTTTTGGCCAAAATCACGAAAATAAAAAAAATCACGAGAATGTAAAAAAAATAAAGAAAATATTTAGCCAATATCTCGAAAATGAAAAAAATCACAAAAATTTTAATAAAAATATGGGGATTATTTGGCCAAAATCATTAAAATGAAAAAAATCACGTGAATGTAAAAAAAAGAAACTATTTGGCCAAAATCACGTGAATGTAAAAAAAATAAAGAAAATATTTGGCCAAAACAAGAATGTAAAAAAAAATATAGGAAATATTTGGCCAAAATCAGTAAAATAAAAAAATCACGTGAATTTAAAAAAAAATAAAGAAAATATTTGGCCAAAATACCTAAAATTAAAAAAATCACACGAGAATGTGAAAAAAAATATAGGAAATATTTGGCCAAGATCACTAAAATGAAAAAAATCAAGAAAGATATTTGGCAAAAATCATGAAAATGATTAAAAAATTTGTTGATAAAAACTTCCAGTTTCTGAGCAAAGATTGCAATTAGATAATTGAGCATCTCTAATTAATTAATACATATCAGATATTTAGAATCCTTATTAAATTTGCAATATAATGATATTATACCGATATATAATATTTACCTTAAAAAAAATTTTTTTAAATTTTAAAAATATATTAATATATAGTCAGAATCCATCAAATTTGCAGTTTAATGGTGAATAATATATTGATAAATAATATTTAGTTTTTGAAAAAAATATTATTTGATTAAAAAAATTTATAAAAACTTTAAGAAAATAGAGAAATTCATATATGTATATATTTAGAATCTCGATAAAATTGGCAATCTAATGGACGTACATATCGATATATAATATTTAGTTTAAAAAAAATTAATTAAATATATTAGTACAATAAAATTAGCAGTTTGATCATTATTATATGTATATTATTTTAGGTTTTCACAATTTTCTTTCTAAAAATTTAATATTTTTAGCAATAGGGGAATAAATCCTTACAATTTTGATAAAATGTTAAGCATATTAAAAGGGATATTTAAGATCGGTATTTTTGATATATTTTAATTTGGAGATAAATTGTAGCACTATAATTACAATTTTTAGAGTTGTACACTATAAAGCCGAATAAATGAATTTTCGATAACTTTAGGTAAAATATCACAAATATAATTAATAAAGAAATGTAAATTTATGCGTTATTTTTTTAAAAAATTCATCCCGCTTAGAGTAGTGTTGTTAAAAAGAAACCGATTAAGATATCAGCTAAACAAATATTATTTAAGTATCGAGATTTGGCAAATAGATGTCCAAGTATTCTAGCAATGAGCAACATCTTTAGACTTACATAATGTTATTTTGATTATGATCTTAATCGGTATTTTAAAATCAACCTGAATAGGGCTTTTTAACAACACTAGCTGAGAGGTTATTTCGTTAAATTAAAATTTGATGTTTAAAATAGACAAAATTAATAAAATATTATTTTACTAAAATCGTTATTGCGCGCAGTATTCTTTATCTTTGTTAAATATACTGAGATAAAATTATTTTTATTTTAGATAACGGGCTTTTTAAAAATTAAATTTTATATCGTTCCATCATATTCTTATATGGTGATGATTAACAAATAAGAATATTAAACGGATTAAATAGGATTATTGTATAAAATGCAAGTGTAAATCATATATTATAATTCTCATGAGCAACCAACTGAAATCCTTAAAACAATAAGTTATTAGTGGTTACATATAGTAAGAATATGATATACAGTCTGGTGGATAATATTTTCTATTTTCGATGAAAGCCCACAAACATACAGACGCACCAATTTCACTTTTTTTAGCCCATACCAAAACATACATTAACACTAAAAATAATGCAGAATATTAATATTTATTGGTGAAGATATTTAATATTATTTTTTGGATTAATAAAATATAATTGAAAAATATGAAATATAAAATTACAACACCTTATTTTTTCTATTTGAAAAGTTTAGGAATTTTAAAGATACCGAAATAAACTATATATTATAGCACAAATATTGTTTCGGATACTCCCAATCCTCCAAATATTTAATAAGATTTTAAACCTGACAAAGATTACATTGTTTTAGTCAAATATATGTTTTTTTTAAGGATTGGGAATTAAGTTCTATGAGTTGTTATATTTTTTTTTATATATCAAAATTAATCCAGGATATATTTATCAAGGAAATAAGGACGATAATGAAAATACACAAGCTAAGTGACATTAAAGAGATCGGGGATGGAGTCGGTAGGTTAAAACATGAAACGGCGGCGATAACTTTTCAAAAAAATATAAAATAGAAATTATAAACAAATGCATTACACATAATTAACCAAATAAATATAATATATCCATCTAACCTCCACATTCCAGATTTATTTTATATAATATATGTACAGATTCCGTCAATCTTTGCAAAATATACTGAGATATAATTATTTATTTTTAGACAACGGGCTCTTTAGAAATTAAATAATATATCGTTCCATTATATTCTTATATGATGATGGTTAATTAACATAGTTATCTTTAAATATAAATAAGAATACTGGCAATAATAGATTTTAGTTTTATAATATTTTATTAATTTTGTATACGATTTTTAAAGAAAAATCCATTGTTATTATAATAAGTTTTTAAACATAAAATTACTTAATTTAACAAAATAACCTCTCAGTGGGTTGAATTAAAATAAAATAATGTATGAATTTACATTTCTTTATTAATTATATTTGTGATTATACATCTTTATTAAAAATAATCTATTTCTACCTAACTTTATCAAAAACATTATTTCATTCATTCTATCGGCTCTATAATACAACTAAAAAATTGTAATTATAGTGCTACAATTTACGGCCCCAAAATTAAAATATATCAAAAATACCGATCTTAAATTTCTCTCATTTTAATACGCTTACCATTTTATCTAAACTTAAGGTGAGTTATTATTGCTAAAAATATTTGAAATATTTATAAAGAAAATTTTTCTTTGAAATAATTATGTGAAAACCTAAATAAAAAAATAAACATTATATTAATCAAAAGGGTCTACCTTCATTCCACATTAGCAGTACCAATGTTTCCATTAAAAATTTTAATAAAAAAATAGTTGACAATGTTAAATTTATAGATTATATCAGCTCTTATTATATAGATTATATATAAAGCTAAAATTATATTAACTATACAATTTACATCGAAGCTTAGACCTGAAATATCAAAACTAGAGAAATAACAATCATTTGTTAACTTTTCCCTACCTAACTTAATTTATATACTCCCTGAACTCTCTATTTAATCCTTCTTTCAATATAATTTTATCGCAAAAGAGACCACAGGAGCTCGCAGTCTAGATGTACGGGGGGTATGTTCTATGAATTTCCTCAATAATAGCGCCCTGATATGTTATTCCAACAAAGAGCCAACAGAAGTTTGCATGAAACGTTACCTCTCTCGTTACAAGTTTTATCTGGCATTCGAGAACAGTAACTGTGCACATTATATAACGGAAAAATTTTTTCGTGCACTCTCCGTGGGGACGGTACCCGTAGTGTTTGGCGCTCGATACTCTGATTATGTTAGGGTAGCGCCACCATTTTCTTTTATTTTCGTGGCTTCGCCCTTAGCGATTACTGCCGGAGTCATGGGTGATTTTGTATTTGTCATATTAGCGGCATTCCAGCAAGGTTTTATTTTATCCACTTTTAATCTTTGAGCGGGTTTTTTAAATTTAAAAATCTGATTTTACCGAAAATGTATATCATGTTTGGAATACCTACCTTGTGAATTTAATAATGTTTTATCATGAACTTTTGAACTTATGCTTTTCATAGATTTTTCATATAAATTATATATGACTCAAATATTAACGGCAAATATTTCTGAAATTCATAAGATGGGTATTCTAAACATGCCGGAATACATATCGGTAAAATGAGATTTTAAATTTAAAAAAAAACGCTTTCAAAAAATGATTTAAAGTTGAAAAAATAACACACTGCAGAGGAAAACCATATATACATATCTCAATTTTTAAAAAGATCATAACTATCCTGAACTATTCTAATCTTTAAATAAGTTCCTCTAATAATTCATATTCTTGCGCTTTCCCTATTAAATTTTTTTAATAAAATTATTCATTGAATAGGACGCAATGCAAGTTTGATGATTATATATATATTATATAATAATGTATAGTATATTTATTTATTTTAATCAAATTACCAGGGAATCAATCTCAAAATTCTTCCATTCCAAATATTAATCTGGAGATACCAAAAAATCATCCATATTTTCATTCCAACAATATGAATGAATTAGTTAAATACCTTTTAAAATTAGATTCCAATGACACACTTTACAATGAGTATCACGCTTGGAGAGAGGAATACATTATAGTAGGTAAAAAGAACAAATATTTATGCTCAATTTGTGAACATCTGCATCTCAAGGACATCCCTAACAAATCCTACAAAATATCCGATTGGTGGAATAAAGAAAGGGATTGTAAAGATTAAATGGAAGCCATCCAAAATATCAAATTTTATTAAGTCTCATAAAATATTTTTAATTGTTAATAGATGAAATACACTTATTTATATAAAATTTATAATTATTTATTGACTAAAAATAATAAAACGTTTTTCAAATAATAGCAAATAGAATTAACATTACCTATGCTAGATGCTATCGTTATAGATGGTGATTGGCTTAGTTATTGCTGACGATGTTTATAAAAAATGACCATAGCCATTATATTTAAAATGTCTATGGTAATCGATTTTTTTTGTGACTACAGCTGCTTAATAATAGATATTTTTGTTGGCTAAACTTAGGCGCTTCCTCAACTATAGTTATTGTATTCAAAACATATTTTTATTATTAAGTATTTTATTCTTTTCAATCTTTGTTTTTAGAAGATATTAATAAATTTTATATCGCGATATTATCCATTATTTAAAAAATTCAAAATAATGTATTATTATTTTTATTTTTTATCACTTTGTTCTAATGTTGTTACACGGTTGGTTGTGCCAATTTTTTATACCCGATAACTCAATCTTCAAGCCAGATAAATATCACTTAAAATTCAAGATTTCTCTAATAGATGTCCAAACCTTTGTGCCATCTATGAGAAAATTCTTCAGGCATGCGTAATATTTTTCTGGATCTCAATCTAGCCATTTAACAATACTAATTTGCCCTCCATTCACAGCTATTTTTTTAAAAAAAAAATTACTATTAATTTTTATTAATAAAATAATAACGATGATTGTCATTTCGAAAAGATTTATAATTATTTTTGTAATTTATATTTTTACATGATGGAATTTTTTTTTTTAGAAATTAGAAATGATACAAAATTTAAGAAAGTCTTTAGTTTTTTGAAACTTAAGAGCCTAAAAATTATTTATTTTATTATAATTAAGTATCAACTTAAAATAGAAATCGATGTCTGCCTCATAAATGTAAAGGATGCAGGAAAGAGTCCCATCCTACAGGTAGACATGAACTTGTTTATATTCTAAAGGGCAGTTAAGTCAATAAATTAGTGGATAACTATCTTAATCTCATGGGATCCAATCCCTTCCTGTCTGCTGGGAAAAGACTACATGGCCTTACAAATATCCCTTGGTTTCGAGGAAAACATCTTATTTGAGATTTCCGTGTGTCTCACAGTTCTCCTCTAACCGAAACATTGACCTGATTATAAGAGCAGAAAGGTCGAAATCTTGAAAGTATGACGACCTTTTAATTTTTTTAAGATTTTAGTTAGAAAAATTCTCAAATCCTTTTATAATTTTACTATCAACCCAAGTTGCTGTGTACCGAGGCAATAGTTTCCTTGGATCTCAGTCAGATAAATTTTTAATGAGAGCAATTTATAAAAAAAACATGCTCTGTAGGCTAAAATGGAAATATATTTTAACATTTTTTTAAAAATTTAAGCTACACTCAAATGGCATATATGTATTTTTAGAATTTTATTATAATACTATATCTTTTTTTAGAAACTACAAAAAAAAAGGTTCAAAAAAGTGAATATAGAACCATGTAGTAATAAATCGAAATAAATTAAGAGTGAGAAGAAGTTATTTTCGGTTCTATGTCTATGGGTAAAATTAAAGATAGTTATACCCTTAAGTAACAAAATTTCAACGAATGTTTTTACAGATAGATATTGTTATACCACATAAAAAAATGTTAAACCGTTAAAAAAAATATCCCTTTATTAGCCAAAAATATAAGTTTTTAAAGTTATTTTTCTATACTTAAGTTTGACTCATTCAAGATTTAAAAATCACCTCTATATCAATAATAATGAGTCATAATTTGTTTGCATTCGGAGAATGTGTCATAACAGAATATAGCAATTCCATAAAGAAATGATAATTAATTGTTAACTTAGCCTCATTTATGGTAAGCGCCATTTGCTAAAGCAATTAAATTATTTGCCGCATAATTTATAAATAAGCCAATAATAGATATAATATATAAATGCCTAGCGAAATGATGAAATCGCAACACCTACTTATGTTTATATAAAAGTATTATAGATATGATAAATTAGTAGTGAATTCGCTAGTGATTAATTTCCTATCGTTTGAGAGAATTGCGTTAACTATAAATGAAGCGTTATATCGATATAATTTTCCCTATCCTCCCTTAAAGTATTTTATCATGAAGGGAAGGGGGGGGGGTAATATTATTGCGCTTTTCTTGATATAATTCACAGCTGATTAATACCTCAAATCCGTAAATTATATTATCCTCCGGTATATATATACTAGTGATAATTATATTTTAGCATTACATAACAATATTTCATATGATAAAAATTGTTCCCTGGTTGTTATATATTTGATATATTATATCGAGATTTAAGTCAATTAAACTCACAAGAACAGTAGGCTCCCTTCCTAGTGGGCATCCTTTTCTTTGAATTTTTCTTATAATTAAGGAACAACTCGGCCTTCTTCTGTTAACGGCTGTGGATAAATAGGTTGCCAAATCGCCTATGATTAGAGTTTGTGATAAACAATTATTTCTCCATAAATTTTTATTTAAATATGTTAATTTTGATTCTTAACCTTCTCAAAATAGAGTTCTGCGAGATCCAATCCGGACAATTCGAGAATATTTTTACGGGCTTGACCTTTTATATTGATAATTAGGCAAATTTAGGTAGTTTTCCTTTATAAAACATTGTTAAAGGACGGATTGGACAACTTGTACTAAATTTATTTTATGGGCCAATATTTCCCCGAACAATGTTCTAAATCTTATGCTAATCCTTAATTAATTTAGAACTTTTACATTTTAAATAAAAATTGAATAAATTATATTACTTGTTAAAATAACTATTGTATAATTGATACTAAGTTGTAAAGGTGGATACCCCAACCCAACATGTGTGGTTGAGAATTTTAAAATCGTTAATTAATTTGAAATTTAGATTATAAATCTCCTATGTTATAGGTAGCATATAAAGCTTAAATTATATTACCTAATATTTAAATCGAAAATTAGGCCTGAAATATAAAACTAGAGAAATAACAATGATTTCACTCTTTCTTATATAACTTATTTTAAATACTACCTATATTCTCTATTTGATCCTTCTTTCCTATTCCAATACTTTTTATCTTAGAGGTAATAGTAGCTCGCAGTCTAGAAGTCTGGGGGATATGTTCTTATTTCATAAATAAAAGTGCTTCAATATGTTATTTTAGGGAAGAGCCGCAAATAGTTTGCGACCCATCTCGTTACAGGTTTTATTTGACTTTCGAAAACAGTAATTGTGCGCGTTATATAAGAGAAAAATATTTCTTGAACTCTCCATGAGGCCGGTACCGGTAGTGTTTGGAGTTTGTTACTCTGATTATATCACGAAAGCGCCATCATTTTATTTTATTTTCGTGGTTTCGCCTGTGTGGCGATGAAAAGGTGTCGGTTATTTTATATCTTGTATATACATGTCTTAATTTTAAAAACTACCGGGGATTATTCTGAGCTCTTCAATGCAACAAACAAATTAATATTATATTTTATTTTTATCAAATTCCAGGGAATCAATCTCAAAATTTATTTAACCCAATTATGTATAAGGAGATGCCAATGAACATCCATATTTTTATTCCAAGAATATGGAGGAACTAGCATATTACCTTTTAAAATTAGATTCCAAAATATCACGCTTGGAGAGAGGAATACGTAATAGAAGATAGAAAGGACAAAAATCTATGCTTAATTTGTGAACATTTTGTATCGCAAAGACATCCCTAACAAATCATATAAAATATCTGATTGTTGGGGGATAGTAAAAATTAAAAAGAATGAGAGTAAAAATATCAAATTCTAATAAATCTCATAACATATCTCTTTAATTTTAAATCATTTTCTATATTATAGAGCTCTCCTATCAACTATTTATTAAAGGTGTATTTTTATTTCTTTCTACTTTCAATTATAAGATAAAAATATTTTTTTTTTATCTAACGTTATTATTTCTTATTTTTAATTTTATCACTTTGCCCAGCTGTTGTTAAACAAGATTTTAGACATTATGTAAACCTCGAGATTCGGCAACTATAGGGCCAAATATTTTTGCCATCTATTAACCAAATCTCCAGGCTTATATATTACTTTGGCTAAAATTTTAATTGGGCTGCTTTTAAAAATACATTCAAATCGGGCTTTTTAACAAAACTTCTTAAAGTTTCATATAACAAAAAACTTTTAATTTTAATCGTTTCTAAAAGTAGAAAGCTTAAAATAGAAATCAATGTCTATCATAAAAATGTAAAGGGAGTGGGAAAGTCTAATCCTACAGACAGATAAGGTTTAGCTTATATTCGAAAAGGTTCAGTCACTAGAATAATTAATTTTATAATCTGGAAAATTAGGTTTAGCTAACTATCCATATCTCCAGGAGCCCATTCACTTCCTATCTGATGGGAAAAGGTCAGATGTCTTTACAAATATTCTTTGGTTTCGAGGAAAATATCTTATATGGGATTCGTGTTTCCCAGTTTTCCTCTAACCCAAACTTTGACCCGATTATAACGGCCGAAAATTACAAAGTACCACGACCTTCCAGGTTTTTATTTCATCATAAGTTATTCATAGACACTAGGCTATAATTTCAAGATTTTAGTTAGAAAAATTCTCAAATAATGGGGATCACAGATCTTTTTTTAAAATCAACCCAAATTGTTGTTTTCGGAGGTCACAATCTTAGTTTCACTTATAAATTCACTGCCGCTGCCATCATGTTATTTAATAGGGAATAGATGTGTTCGAGTGAATAGAATTGTGTTTCAAATATCTTTGAATCTTAATCATATATTTTCCTATAAAAATATTCGTAGCAAATTGTATCATAAATCACAAAAATATATATCAATCTCAAATTCAAAAACATTTCTTTTATAGATCTCAATGAATCGATATAAATTAATAAATAATCGATCATCGAAATTACACTATAAAATAAAATGTAATTTAAAAGATGATATAAGTAACTGAATCTAAGTTAAGCAATAGAATAATAAAAACTAAATATAAATCGTATATTTTAGTTATTGTCATAAGACATTAAAACTAAACAAATATCATTAAAATAAAACTAAATATAAAGTAAATATATATAACATGTATTTAAATTTTATTATATATCGTAAGTAATTTACATGTTATTTTTAATATATTATTTTAAATAAAATGTATTAAATGCGTTTTTCATTACAACTTAAAATAAATTATTAATTAAGAAATCCTCAATTATTTTATATGTAATATTATTTATTTTTTACTTTAGTTTAAACCCTATTAAATGTCTACCCCCATTTATAGATCAAATTATAATAAAATGACGCTCATTTGGAAATAATACAACCCAAGTTCATATATGTTTTGGTGGGACCACATCTATTAGATCGAAAGAAAGTGTTATATTTAATACTAACCTCGTCCTAAAATGAGATTCGAAATAAGGAGCTTAGAAAAAAAATTATGTATTTTATATCCAATTTATTATGGATAAATATAAATAATTTTTAATAAATGACTGAATTAGGTAATTATAAATATAATCTATGTAATTTTTATTATTCTCAAATTTTCTGCAGGAAGCTAGAAATTCTTTGGGAATCTAGCTTCCAAATGCTCATTAGTTATGGCCTTGCAGTTAGATTTCAGTGTCTAATATTAAATTAGTTTCAGGAAAATAAACCTTGTGCTCAGCGTCTACATGAGCGGGAGGGGTAGGAACAGTTTGCATCTTATTTTTTGAGGGGGTAGGCAGCTTTTATGGGGGTAAGATAAATTTTTTGGGGGGTTATCTATTAAATTTCGAGATGAAATAGGACAAAATTTATTGCTGTAAAAATTAATACTTTTATCATAGAATTATTATAATATAATTCATCGATTAAATCTATATATTACAAACAATCATACACATAGTTTTCCAAATAAAACTTTCTGCTAATTTAAAAGGTTTAGAATTTCAGCAAGCTCATAATGCCATAATAATTAATTTATTGTAAATAATGGAGGTTTTAATTGAATTTATTATCTAAAAAATAAATTCTTTATATTCGCAAAATATAGATAGTTGGTAGTAGAGATAGATTAATTTAAGTTATCCTTTATAAATTCTCTGAAAAGAGTATCAATAAATTAAAAAGGTAAAAATAATAATAGGGAGACACCGCCGCCGAAAGCTGTGATTTTTTTAAGGGGGTAAGCAAAGGTTTTTGAAGGGGGTTTGCATCCAGTGAAAATCCGGTCATGTAGACGCTGCTTGGGCTTGAACTTCTATCTCCAAGTGTAGGAATTTATCTTTTGAGCCAAAAGTCATTTAAAAAAAAGGATATTTATACCCAAAGATATTGTAAACGCGACTTTTAAAGTAGCGTGATAATAGTTTCAAAAAAAGCCATTACACTAATTAATAAAGAAAATCGATTCCATTATTTTTTTTAAATATGTATGATAAAATCTTATTAAAGATATATTAAAAAATTGTAATGTAAAATATATTTAATTTAGTAAAATTCTCAAATTTTGCAAAAGGAAAACAATATTTTCAATTACAAGATTATCTCCTTCTAGTAAAATGTCGTTATCATAAACTCTCACTTGTTCTTATCCATTTGATTTTCAAACATATTTTAAATTATTTTTTATCAGATGGTCGACTGAACTTAAAAAAATGGTAGTTTACTTTACTATTAGAATTAAATTAAAAAATCATTAATTTAAAATAGCATAACGCTCATTTTCAAAAAAATCGCTAAAGCTATATAGAAAAAAGCAGTGCGCTACTTTAACAACATTATATAATGATATTCACGAACGTATATTTAAATATTTTATGAAAAATACATATAAATTAACATTCTCCGGTGGTGATTATTAATTATCTAAACATAAATAATAAAATGAATGAATGCATATTAAAATTCTGCGAGACATCTTTTTTGCGAATACATTATTATATATTAATGACCAATCATATTTTATTGCCAGTCATTTTAGAATATTACAAAACTATGCCTTGATTAATTTTTATAATTTTAATTTGAGTTTGTGGCATCTAAAAAAAATATATTTTTATCTTGATAAAAATTTTAAAATATCATTACTTATATTACTGAGTGATTTTTGTAAGATTTTGTGCTGTGAAAGACCTAATAAGAATATAAGTTTATGATAATAAGATAGAATTTAAAACAGTTTGATAAAAAATCTTCAAAAAGATTGTATTTTAAATAAATTTGTGATCTATTGAAAGATTTTTTATGCATGAAAATTACAAAATATTTACTTTATAAAAAAATTTTATCAAAAAAAATATTAAAAATTTTTAGGTAAAATTTGATCAATCTCCTATTCTTCTTCAAAAAAATTGATTTAAAAATAATAACCTATGAACGATTGCATCGGTGAGGGCAAATTTGTAGTACCTAAAATAATAAATTTATATGACATTAAAATTAATGTATAAATTCCTTTACGAATATTTATAGGATGAGTTTGCAATGGCTTAGTTCCTACGATATCTTGTATTGAAGAAAACAAGCCGGTAGAATCTAATAAAATACATTTATAATAAGTAGCAATTCATTAAAAAGATAAATTTTTAAAATCATTACGAATGTTGCTAAGTGAGTCCTGTAAGATTTTATGCTGGGAAAGACCTAATAAATAATAGTTTGACTGAATTATTAAATAATATTTTAAATAACTTATAAAATTTTGCATCGACGAAGGCAAGTTTGTAGTACCTAAAAAATAAGTAGTATTAAGTATATAAAAATTAAAATATCATTACGAATGTTTATAGGATAAGTTCGCAAAGGTTTAGAACTTATAGCATTTTCAATGGATGAAAACAAGCCGGTAGTAGAATCTAAAATAAATATATTACTAATTAATATTATAATTATAAAATCATAAAGATTATTGCTAAGTTTTCTTTATTATAAGATTGATATTTTGCGAAAGATCTATCAAAAAAGGAAAATAGTAATTCATTCTATTATCTAATATATATTTCTTATTTTTTTTAATTTTTCTTTGTTATATTGATATTCTTAATATTTTTATTTCTAATTTTTCTGATTTCTCTTTAATTTTTGTTCATTTTCAATTAATTGTAACTTTCTACAATTTTCTACTCCGTTTTGATCATTCTTTTGTATTTTTATTAACAGGGTTCCCCGTAAAAAGGTGCAATCAAATAAGAAAAAAAATGTTGGATCGAAAAAAAAATTCGAAAAGTACTAAAGTCGTATCCTGGTTGGACTTCTAAACAGCCTAATTAATAAAAGAAAACGAAAAAAAACTAACAATTCCACCAAATATTTTCAACAACCCAAAATAAGGTGTCCTAGTTCAAAAGCTGTTAAGTATCAAAATTAAGTTAACCAGGACATAGCCTAAAGGCTCAAGAAAAGGTCTGATATAAAAGGGCCTATTAAAGTAGGAAAAGGTCCTGATCAAAACGGAATAAAATGTTAAATATTGAACAAAACGTAACCACCATTTTATGGCCTCTATGAAGTACTTATATATTTCGATAGCCCTCACCTCACTATCATATTGTATTGGGTAGATATAAATTGAAACAATTGGAAAAATGGCATGAAATATTATTTAATTTGCCTAAAAAATTTCTATTAGATGAATTAAAATCTTGATCCTCTTCATCATCTTCAGTCTCACTAGCACTAGGATTACTTTGCATTAGTAAATCGTCCTCGTCAGTATTTGAATTGGGTTCAGCTAAAGTAAAACAAGGTGTACAAATCTTTAAAATATTAATCAGCTGATATGATTGACAACTTAAAAATCCGCTATGTATATAAACGTAAATATTTTTGTTTTTTTAAATCTTAGTATTATAAATAAAAATATTTTTTCGAAATAATTATTAATTACTAAGAGCATATCTAAATCCTATGTTCAAAAAAAATCCGCGAGAATCAATGTGAGTCATAAGCACTAGAGGTCAACAAATGGCCCGAACCGATTAGTAAATTTTTTAAGCATAGAACTCGTGGGTTAATAAAATTAGGAAAATTGAATAATAATGACAAAAACATAGCATAAAAATTAAACCTTAACAAATTAACTAGAATGCTTTGTATAATTTATACTTCAATACCCACTATCAAAATTTTTCTTGAAAGAATTTATAAAAACAATAACGACAAAAACAATTTACCAAAAGTCATTTCGATTTTAAAAAAATAAAAAATATGGTATTTTCGAAATTCTTTTGGTATAGGACTTTTATTTCTTTGTTTTTTCCTTTTTGGATCGGGCCATTTCCCTTTTAAGTGATGTGTAGATCCACAAATTTTTCTTCCACCCGATATTACTTCAAAACCAAAATTTAAATTGATTTTAATTTATCATCTAACTTTGAATCCATGTCACCAAAATTCTTTTTATTCAAAAAACAAATTTATGGCGGAATGAATTCACTAATTCTAAAAAAAGCTAAATCAAGATTTTGGCAAAATAATTATTAAAGCCTCAAAATTGCGCCAATAAATGTACGAATTTTTCTGGATCTGAGGGTAAAATTTCCAAAATCTTCCTACTGAAATATCATTATCCCATTAAAACATAATGGGGGAGAGAGGGGATAAGATATTCAATTGCATATCTTGGCTTTTATAGCTTTGATACCTTGGCTTTATTATTAACTATTATAATAACTATGCATATATAAGTCGAAATAAATATAGTCAAAGAAAATATAACAAGCGAACAATAAAGAGAAAATAATTGTTGTAACGTGTATGTATATAAATAAATATAACGTGGGGATGATTCGTAGCCACCAAGGTTATAGTGAACAGGATCCGTCCAATGCCAGTTGACTCCTATTTCCCTATCAGTTAAGTATCAGAGTTAGAGGTGAGTAGCTACACATGTAGCGTATTTTTGTAAATACTGAGACCAGGGTTGCCAGGTCAAAATTTTCAAATTGTGGGAGAAATTAGGTATTTTGTGGGAGAAATATAAAAATTGTGGGAGAAATTGCTAAAAAGGCCCGCAAAGGCCCGGCCTGCGGCCGGGATTTAGAATTGACTTAGTTATCCGCTTATTATTTTTTATAAATATAAAATCTAATCTAAAATAAAATAGGTAATTATTTTTCAAAATAAAATAGCCAACTATTTAAAATAAAATAGCTAACTTTTTCCAAAATAAAATAGCCAACTATTTTTCAAAATAAAAGAGCCAACTATTTTTCAAAATAAAATTTCCAACTCTTTTTCAAAATAAAATAGGTAACTCTTTAAAATAAAATAGCCAACTATTTTTCAAAATAAAATAGCCAACTATTTTTCAAAATAAAATATCCAACTCTTTTTCAAAATAAAATAGGTAACTCTTTAAAATAAAATAGCCAACTTTTTCCAAAATAAAATACGCAACTATTTTTCAAAATAGGTAATTAATGTACGACACAAAATTTCTTAGAGTACTATCTTTATTATTAAAATAACATATTGATTTATTATAATATATTAATTTTGTTTAAAAATAATAACCAACGATCTTTTTTAATTACAAAAGAATGTAAACAAAAAAATTTTATAAAAAAATTGTAATTTTACAATGTAAAAAAATAAATGTATAAATAAGATTTTATAAAAAAACAAACAATTTTAAATTTACAATGTAAAAAATATTTATAATCAGTGCGGGGAAGTTGTTCTACAGTATTTAGTTAATACAATGGGGGAAGGGAATATGATATTTTGAGGTATCAAAAATCTTCAAAGCATAAATCAGTACAGGGCATTCTATCAACATCTATTGCAAAACAAAAATATTCTTCAAAAATTAGAATTAATATAGATGCAACTACAGTTGCGGAAATGGTAAATACCTATCATGCAGTACAACATTCAGAGAGTTACTCAACATCTCAATGTTGGTAGAATCTTTCCCCATAATATTTAACGAATAATATAAATGAAAAGTATACTTTGTAGAACACAAAATGAGCAAGGCTATCAACAATGTTTTAGGATATAATCCAGAAGGTCAATTCTTGACGATTTGAAAGATGTGCAAACATATGCAATTATAACAGATGCATCTAATAAGGAGATATCAAAACATTTCCCTTGATCCTCCCCTATTTCAACAAAATTAATGTCATTTCAATAAAACTATTAAAAAAAATTTCTCCAGATATGAAATATCCAAAGACATAGCTAACCATATATAATGGTAAATATGGCAGATTTGGCATTACCAATGAATTGCATGGCAGCTTTCTGATCTGATAATTCCTCAGTGAATTTGGCAAAAACCATAGTGTATTTACAGAATTGAGTCAGCATAATGTTGGTTGACAGGTTCCTCCTAATACGCGCCATCGTAGAATTTTAAAATTTTACAAACCTTTAAAAAATAAATAGATTATAAAAGCTGTCCTATTTGAAAAAAAATTTCAAAAATAAATGGCAGAAGTATATTTAGGAATTTTACATATAGGAAATCTACTATATGCTGTTAATATGCAGTTGCAATCAGAAGAATATAATTTAATAAAGGCTCACTAAATTATGCTGCAGAAATACCAAAGTAATCCACTTCTAAAAGTTCTATTCTTCTATGAAAATGTTGAGTGGAGCACTGCAATTATAGAATCTAGAAATTTAAAATATATTTATAATAATTATACATACTATTCTAACTTCAAATTTTGAAAATGTCGAATGGATTGGATTGGATGGAGAATTTAAAATTAGCGGAAAAATAAAATAAAAGAACTAGACATATTTTTCGAATAAATATTTAAAATTTATTTTAAAAATATAAAAATAATCAAATACTGTTTCTCAAAATTATTATTTATATATTAAAAACATTAAAATGCTAAAAAAAAATTTGTGGGAGAAATTAAAAAATTGTGGGAGATTTCGAATTGTGGGAGTTTTGTGGGAGTGAGATGTATGTGGGTAAACTAAAAAATTGTGGGAGACTCCCACTGATGGGGGGGAGGCATGGCAACCCTGACTGAGACGGATAAGGCTTTTTGCAAGTTAGACTTCAGAAATACTTCAGCAGCACTCACAAGAGTTCAATACTACCTTCCTTCTTAGAACACTTACCCGAATATAGTAATTTTTTGGATTCCTGCTATGGATTTCCCTCGTTACTCAAATTTGGGGAGTTTTCCATATCTACCCAAGATGGTATTCAGCAAGGCGATCCATTAGGTCCCTTGCTCTTTACTGTAGAAATTTATAATTTGATCAAAAATCTAGAACATGATTTCAAATTAGACTTAAATTTATCATATCTTTATGTTCCTAATCAAAAAATGTTTTTTCTTACTAAATTCTCATAAATCATTAAATCTTCCCTGGCTTTACAATATAATTCCCTTTCTAAATCCCCTTGAATTAAAATTTAGGCATTTCATCGAATCCCCTTTATCTTGAATTCATAGTGAAGCGCGATCGCGATTTCGCTGTAAATATCACAGCGACGTGTCAGCTGGATCGATCGCAGCGATTTTCATTCATAGTACAACAGCGATTTTATTAATTCATAAAATTTCGAAAAATTATTATTTTTATACAAAATGATCATGAAGAAGAGGAGATTAAATAATCATAATATTAAAAGAAAAGAGGGTAAATTTTACACCATCCTTCCTAAGCTCGGCGAAATTTTTTAATTATAAGAGAATGACCAAAGTATTTATTTATTCTATTTTATATAGGAAACTTTTTATTAAATACTAAAACATGTAAAATTAGTTTTATACACAAAAACCACAAATTTTATTAAATATCCTATAACTATTGAAAAAAAACTCAAGGTTTATCTTAGTATAAATATAAAGTACTTTATTATTTAAATAAATTATTTATTTAAATACTTAGCCACTAGCTGTAGGTATGCTACTTTAGCCTATTCCTTTAAAAGGGGGGTTTCAACCATCTAAAATTATTAGAATACCATGCCAAGCTATATGACAAACCTTAGTTAGTATTCATATACCACTACCTACTCAATCATGTGTTTACTTGATTATTAAAAAAAATATAAAAGCTTGCATCGATAAAGACAAATTTGTAGCAAAGCATATATATATAAATTTATTAAGAATATAGCTAAGTGATTATTGTAAAGATTTAAGTGTTAAAATGGCCTAATTATACCATAAAAGTTTATTTGATAGTTAGATACCTATAAATAAGAGCTAGCGTTAATTGATCAAGAGAATAAAATAGGTTTTAATACTAATACATATTTGGTATTTAATAAAATATTTTAATTATGATAGATATTCTTAATTTAAAAATAAAATAATATTTTTATAAAAAAATGACCTACCTTTAATATCTATAAAAGGCTTATTGCTGGAATTGTCTTGTGTTCCTTTGCATCTTTCCCCAGGACTCATTTTTTCTGGCATCATAATATTTATTTTCATAGCATCAATTTCTACTTTACCAACTTGTAGGTCTACTTTATCTGTTTCATGTTGGACACCTATATTGATTTTTTTTAAGAATTAATTTAATGATATAATTGACTGCCTCAGAATATATTTGCTTTTTTTAAATAATTACTTATTTAAAAGAAACAAATGATTAAAACTAATAATAATAATAATAATAATAAATTATATATAAAATCTATTATTATAAGAGATCTGCAGAGGTACCAATTATATGGACCAGCCCAGGTTTATATTATATGACTCGATCCGTATACCAGGCCTTTCGTTCGGGCCTGCAGATATATGATTATTATAAAATGATTACCTATATCTTTAGAATTAAGCACTAGTGTTGGATTAAATATCCGAATAATCTCTTCAAATTTTTCAATAATCCTAGGATTTGGTTGGCATAAATCTTTGCAAAGATAGTTTGTAAATTGATATATTTTATCGTAGGCATCTTGATTCATTTCGGATGTTAGCGAACATATATCCTCAATATTTTCTTTCAATTTTTTATATTTTTCCTCTGACGAAACATTTTTTTTAATGCTGTTAATGTGATCAATTATCATGTTATCAATCATTTTGTCGTTCTCATTAATTAGGTTATCTGAGTCTAGATCTGTAATTTCTTCTAGATCTGTAATTTCTTCTAGATCTGTAATTTCCATGACCTCACCCCGTGGCCGAGGTTTAATTTTCTTTTTAATGTTGTATAAATCACGACTCGTGACATAAACTCCCTTTTGTTGCATATCGAACCTTATTTTTGGAATTGCTACATTGTATTCTAAACACTTTATAATGAATGCTTTAGATGCTTCAGGAATTTTGCGTTGCTTAGGCAAGAGCCTGTAAAAATCGGGGTCTAAATTAATAAATTTAAAAAAAAAATTGGGATAATGTAATAAAAAAAATTAATAATACCCAAATCATGGTTATGTTCCGTGTTTATTTTTGTGACTTCAAGCATATTTTTATCTTCCTTTAACACGTGTTTCACTAAAAAACGGCTAGGACAATTTTTTTGCAACGTTAGAGTATGCCGTTTGCCTTTAGCCCTACTCTTGAATTTTCTTCCGCCATGGATACAGGCATAGCGTAGGTATTTATAATTTATCCTTCGCATAATTCTTTGATCAGCATGGGTAAGTTTAGTGCATGTCGCAATCTTGAAAGTTGTGAATACTGTATTTTCATATCTTTTTATTGCTTTCTGCAAAGCATCAAATGATTCGAATTGAGCACCAACCTATGAGATGTGGATTATGATAAAAATTTTAAGTTAAAAAAAACTTATAAAATATCCGTTTAAATCATTGTAAATATATATTATATTGATATAAGGTTCAATGTTCCACAATTTTAGAGTAAGAGAATTTTTTTTTTTAAAAAAAAACGGCAAAAACTCTAAGACATTTTGAAATTTTTTTGAAATTTTTAGAGTAACTAAAATTAATGAATCCAATTTCTGGAATTTTATTATAACAGTATATAACTCTTTAATAAACTGCAAAATAAGTGATTTTTAAAAAAGTGGAGATAAAACCTTGTAGTCTAATGCTTTAAGAGAGAAAAAAACTATTTTTGATTCCATCTCCATGGGTAAAATCATAAATTAGTGCAAAAAATTTATTTCTGCGAATAAAATATTATTAAACCATAAATTTAAAATTTTCAATGAAGTAGATATATGTTGTAGTAAAAATATCATTGAAAATTGAAAAATAAAACCAAAAACATAACCTCTGTATATCAGGACTGTGAACTCTTCTTCTAAAAAAAGGGCTCAAACTTAGGTTCTAGTTCAGTGAAATATCTCAGAACCAGCTTCAGGTTTCGGTAGGTTCAGGGTTCGTGGTCCAGAAAAATTTAGACTTATAAAATTTAGTAAAAATAACAGAAACATTGGTTTTTCATAAACTTTATTTAACCATATTTAGCCCTTACCATAAAAATAATTTATCATTATAATTTGAATATAAGCGAATTATCATATCTTCCAATCGAAATGTTAAAATTAAAATATAGATTTTTTCTGCCTAACTTAGATATTGAAACTTCTATTTAAAAAAGTTGGTATATGGAATTTGTCTCTTTCTTCACTCACTAAGAATTTAGTTCTCCTTGTCTTAAATAACTAGTAAAACTTATAAGCATTATCTTTTTTCAGTTTGGTAAGGAAATATTCAATTCATATGAATAAATACAAATATTCCATTTTATAATTATGAATTGAATATGAATAATGCAAATATTTATTCATATTTTGCAAGGTATATGGGGACCCTTAAAAATAAAATTTTCCAACTCAATTTCCCTATAATAATTAATCAGTGATATGTTACCTCCAAATCGAGTTGGCTTAGAGAAGTAACTTTATTTGAATTAGAATTGCTATCTCTGTTTTGATTTTCACCCATGACAATAATCTAAATTGATATTATAATAAAATAAGATGTACAAAATCATGATTTAAAAAGATTATTTTTATTTAACTTTAAAATTTCTTAAATATGGCAAGTTTTTAAAATAGAATTGTATGAGGAAACATGAAATATAAAATCAATATTTAGATAAATTGTTAAAACATTTATCAAAAATATGAAATTACTGATATATGATCCATAGACACAAGTAATAAATGCAATTAAAATACTAAAATCACCCAAAGAGACGTTCTCAATTCACATTATTTATTAAATGAATATATAATTAAAAAATGTAAAAACGCTTGAATGAACATATCTATCACTCCAGTATGTCATTTGAAGTCAAATGTTCATAATATCAAGATAATATTTTAATTAATATTAATTATTACTATGCTTACTTCGTTGAATTTTAATAGCTGTCTAACTAAAATACTAAATCTATAATTAATAAATTCATAAAAATAAAACGAATTAATTTATAAAACAGTTGTTGTAGAAAATATTAGGGCTGTGTCGATATTAAATATAGGATCGGTACCGATATTTAACGTTTTCCGAAAATATCAGATCGGGCCGATACCTGTAGAAAAACCGATCCGATCCTTTTATTTTTCTTTTTTTTTGTTATTTTATTTTATGTTATATATATATTTATTTTACATTTTTTAAAATTTTATTTCTTTTTTAAAATAGATTTATAGTATTTTAAAGTATTTTTTTATAAAAATAGAAAGGAACACCCAAATTTTTATTTATAAATAAAAAAAATTTTTAAATATGGTATCTGAATTATGGAAATATTTTACAAAAGACAAAGATAATTTTGCAAAATGCGTTATCTGCGGAATCATCTGAGTCTGCCTTCAGTACGGCAGGAGATATAGATAGTCCAGTAGAAGCTTATTCCCAGAAAATTTAGAGGCTCTCATATTTATTAAAAAAATCTAATATATTAAAATTTTATATATTAAATATTACAATTTTATAATTCCAACATAGATATATTATTAAATATATATTTTTTTATTATAGTCTTAATTGTAGAAATAAAAAAATTTAAATTATTCATAATTCGATTTTTTGCATAAAAAATATTGATTTCTTAATTACATTTGGTTCAAACGGGGGTGATTAAAAATCAGTAAAAATATCGGATCGGTTTTGAAGCAATATCGGAAAATATCGGATCGGATGAAAAATATGTGGATCAGCACAGCCCTAGAAAATAGATAGTCATAAGTGATTTGCATCAGGCCTTGTCTTAAGCCTGGTTCGAAATTTTTTTAGAAAAAATGTACCCTGTCCAGCCCGATTCGGAAAATTTTTTCTTAATTTGTCTGCCTGACCCAAAATAAAAATTATTTGTCCGCCCAACCCATATTTATTCAAATTAAGGCTGTGCCGATCCATATATTTTCATCCGATCCGATATTAGTTCAAAACCGATCCAATATTTATACTGATTTTTCACCACCCCTCTTTTAACCAAATGTAAAAATCAATATTTTTTATGCAAAAAATCGAATTATGCATTTAATTTAATTTTTTTATTTCTACAATTAAGACTATAATTAAAAAAAAATTATATTATAATAGATAAAAAAATTATTTAATAATATAGCCATTTTATGTTGGTATGAATTATAAAATTGTAATATTTAATATATAAAATTATAATATATTAGATTTATTTTAACAAATAATTCCTCCCCGTGAAATTAAAATTCCGCAGTTAACGCATTTTGCAAAATTATCTATGTCTTTTGTAAAATATTTCCATAATTCAGATACAATATTTAAAAAATTTTTTTTATTTAAAGTATAAATAATAAAATTGGCAAAAGATTTAAAATAAATAAAACTTTGAGTGTTCCTTACTATTTTTATAAAAAATCTTTTTAAAATACTATAAATCTATTTTAAAAAATAAATAAAATTTAAGGGGTGTTGTGCATGCATTGTTTAAAAAAAATAATTTAGAAAATATTATATTAATGTAAAATAAATATACATACATAACATAAAATAAAACAACAAAAAAAAGAAAAGTAAAAATATCGGATTTGGTTTTTACAGGGGCCCGATCCGATATTGGAAAACGCTAAATATCGGTGTCGATCCGATATTTAATATAGGCACAGCCATAATTCAAATATAGAAAAATTTAATTTTTTTGATTGTAAAAAAAATATTTAATAAATAAAAAATATTAGTGGCTTATTTAGCAAGTTTTTTAAAATACATATTTATTTGGCAAAATATAATGATATCATATTTAAAAATTTAAAGCTCCACCCTGCCCAAATTTTTTTAAAAAATATTAAGCCCAAGCCAACCCAAAGTCCATTTAGATACAGATTATTAATAAAAGACTTATTGATATTGGAAAAAAATTAGATATAGATACTAAAAATTTTATGGCCAGAAATAATGGGTTAGGGCAGACTTATAAAACTTTAATGTGACAGACCTGAAATTTCATAAAACGTTGATGGTCAGGCAAATCCTAAGATTATAATGAACATAGACAATAAATGTAACAAGCCATGACAAGCAACTTGTGCCAAAATTTAATGGGCCATAATGGGCTGGGCTTTGCAGATCTCTAATAATTATATAACAAGTTATATATATCAGTCTGGGCAAGATTTATTTAATAAATAGCTTAACAATGGCTGGTATTGAATCAATACTTTATTTAAATATTGATTTAGAAAAAGAGGCACTAATAAATTTAAAAACAAAAAAGAACAAATAATTCCAATTATATATTGCTGGAATAAATTTTGCTAATACCCATTACAAAGGGAGAGATAGTGCTCCTCATAATATTTATTAATTTGATATTAAAATTATAATATAAAAGGATCAATATAAATTTCCAAAATGAACCTATAATAAAAGAACAAATTTATTGGTCAGCTTTTTAAATAAGTAATAGGCAACATTTTAACTAAATGGGTAGTGGAAAAAAAATTTGGCAGGTATTTAAATTTTTGGTTAGTTTATTAATTTAGAATTTTTTATTGATTTGGGAAAAATTTTAAGTAAATAGGTAATTTTAAAATAAATTTGCAGGTATTTTAATTTGTGGTCAATTAATAAATAATTTTTGTTTTTTTTTATTTATTTGAGGAGTTTTAATTTTTTGGAGCACTAATGTTGAAGATGGATTTCTCAGGCCCAACTATAATGAAACCAACCAATTGATGAATATTGTTCTTATTCGTTTGATTATTATAAAAAAACCTGGTAAGGATGGTAAAGGAGAAATTTATTTTTGTTTAAATTTTTTATCATAATAGTAGATTTTAAAAACAAAAAGTTTTTTTTTAAATATAATAATTTTTTAAAAAATCTTGTCAATTGATTTAACATTGTCTATACTATTGAATTTAATAGTTTAAAAAAAATTTAATGATATGCATTTTAGTGTTTGTTAAATGGCTCAATTTTCAAAAATGGATATTAAATATTTTTGCAAAAATATTACTCATGACTGGAGATTCAGCTCATAGATGGCAGAAAGGGTTGGGCATATATTAATTAAATATCAAGCTTAAATGCTAGGATCTTAATTTAAAATTTTTCTATTCTTGGGATATTTTGATTAGTATAATTATGATATTTTTATAAACCTTTTCAAAAAATAGATACATTTTATTATTTTGATCTATTTGTTAGAATTTAATAAAATTGACTCTTTAATTTGTGGGCCTCTTTTATTAATTCTAAATACTCTATTAAATAACAAAGAAAATATGCATATTTATACATGACTCTATAAGTTAAAGCATATAAACTTATAAAATATAAAAAATCTATTTCACATGTTTCTTAATTTTACTCTATGAATAGTTTGTCATTAACCAAAAATTTCTAACTTAATGTAGGTTGATTTTCTAAATTTTAAACTTATTATTAAAGTTGAAATATAAATAATTCTTTCTTTATTCTTTATTAGCATAATTACTTAATGATGATCTTATTTATTATTTTTTAATTTTGTTACCTTTTATCATTGCTGATTTTCAGCGTCGGACATTATTAGTATTGGTTAATGATAATAAACGTCATTAGACAACATATAGCAATTTATTAATAACGACATATTTAAATACTCATATATATTCCTGCGCATAATCTCGAACCCCTGAAAAATTTTATAGCCGCCTTAAGCAAATATTTTTATGGCTCTTTAATATCACCTTTAACTAAAAATAAATTTTTTCGATAGCCCCCTAAACAATTTCTATTATAATTCTATTAAGTATTATATATAAATTTGATTTTTTTTATTTAAAATAGAATAAGACTATCTAAAATTTTAAAAAATATGCTATTTTAATTATTATATTTGAATAGTGCTCATATAAATTATATTTTAACTATATCAGCTTGCAATCAAATCCTATGTTAAAAATGGAATAATATCACTTATAATGTCTTTAGCATAATTGATTTTTATTATTTAAATTACTTTATCGCTAATTAAATAAATATATAAATTTATTAATTCCTAATATATGAAATGATAAACAAATAATTTTTAAAAAGATGTTAAAAAATAAAACTCATTCTATAAAAACGGAGGTGGGACTACAAGGTCCCAATCAATATGAAAAATTATATTTTAAAATGGCAATTTGTATATTTTGTTTTAAAAAATAAAATTCTTTGGTTTCTGATGTAAGGGCTCTTATTTTGTCGTCTATAAAAATTTTAAAGGTCCGCATGATATATATCCAAGGGAAGAGGTATCGATTGATAAAAAATAAAATTTGCTAATTTCAAATATTTAACTGTTTTTTCCCTGCTATATCAACCGAATCAGAATTTAAATTTGATTTTAATATTTACCTTAAGACCAATGTAGAGAAGTTAATTCATTTCTTAGGCCATCGTCTAATGTTAAATTAGCCCAGGATGTTTGGTATAGGGGCTCGTAAGAGAATGGCGAATAACTGAATTAATTGCAGCATGTCCCGAATGTCTACCTTTATTATATATACAATTAAGACCATGTCTCCTTTTGGAATCAACTAATGTTTAACATTTTATGCATGTATGTGGTTGAACGATGTTATATCAATTCGATGGCTTACGGCAACTCTTAATTGTTCATATGATAAGAGGTTGCCTAGGTTACGACTTGGTGATGCTTCCAGCCATTCATAACCACAAGTTCAGTCAACATTTTGTAATATATATCCTAAAGGAGGGTTTGATGACAAAATATAAATATTAATTAAAGGTTCAAAAATTGATTGATGTATTAAACTGTGGGTAAAGTAGCTTCTGGTAGAGTTAAAGATATCCAAACCATCAAGACCGAATTTAAAAGGTTATCTTTAAAAGTGATAAAAGAAGATATCATGGCGTTATTCATCGAAGAAAGAGATTTAAGATTTAATGAATATAAATCTAAACTACCCACGAGAAGCCCCAGTTGAAAATTTTCCAATTAAATATTTAAAATATTTTCAAACATACTTATAAAGAATTCATGAAAACGATTAATAATTTTATTATTTAAAACAAATGAAGAAGATCTAATTGTATGTAAAATCTTTGGTAAAAATAAATATTTAATTAAAAGAAAAAAACTTTGGTGTGAAATTATTCCTTTTAAAATATTTTCAAGTCCAAGCCTTTAAAAAAATTTTCAGTGAACACCTCACAGTTGGAAAAACTGCTTAAAGGTGAACCAAGAAGATTAATTTCACTTTCTTTAATGATTTGAAACCCCTGGACCTCGAAGGCATTTGAATTTAAAAGACATATTTCAGATTTAGCTTTATTTAGAGTAAGAGTTTAGATAATTCTGCTCTATATAATCTATTGCTGCTAAAATATTTTTGGAACCGCAGAAAAAAAAAATTAAATAAATATGATCATTTATTTATTGTAAAATTATCACAAATCAACTATATTATTCATTTTTAAATTTAATTAACATGTCTCTTCCTAAAAATATTTCCAATTACAACAAGTATAAGAAATTTCTTTAAAAAGTAAGTCGATATATAGTTGATAATCCTCTATTATATAGTGTTGGTTACAAAAAATTTGGTAAAATGCCCCTTTTATAGACATATTTGACAGTTATAGAATATATTAGGATTAATATTTTAATAAACTTTACTAATCAATGCTTTTATTGATAATAAATATAAGAACAAATTGCATTCAATTCTTAAACGCAATCTATTTATTTTTAATAAAAAAAATTTATTAAGAATTAAACATCTTATTATTTATCCCACGATAAATGTAATCCTTATTAAATTTGGTGTTTTCCTTCTCATTTTTTACATGTTTTTAGGAAAGCAATTCTTCTTTGAAAAACAGTTTTGAGTTAAATTTCTAATACAAGTATATTATTGATAATATTACAAACTAGCATTATTTTAAGACATAATGTACCAACTAGAAGTGGTGCGACAATAATATATAAAATTTTAATAGCTTTCATCATATCACTCTACTCCTTATTTTCTAATTATCAAATTATTTATTTCTAATGACATCCTTACCATGTAAATAACTCATGGTTTCATGTATAGTTATTTCTTCTAAGATTTTTAGTTTTATATTTTATCAATTTATCTAACATGATAAACACTAATTACATCGTGTGTTATGGTGATGTCTACAAATTAACCACCATCTATTATTTGTCTGGCTTAATTTATGATTATTACTCCTGCTTGAGAGCATTTAATTGCATAATTTTGATAAACAACAATGGTTAACTGTCTAGGAGTTTATATATCATTAAAAATTAAAGACAATCTTTTATAAATTTACACACTAATTTTCTCTATTACTTATCTAGTTTCCATACCATCTAAGAGATATAGTTTTATGATTTAGACTAGTCGTTTAGATTCTCTTCTTCAAGAATCATTGATTTGGTAAGGCCTCCTTATTAGTCCATTTTATAAAACATTGTCTAAAATGGTAACACAACGTTATATTATATTCATGACCTTTTTGATAATGTAGGTTCCTATGAATTAATTGTTCAGAGTTTGCAAATTTTAATTAAAAAAGTATAAAACCTTAATATAAAATCCGACCGAAGGCCCGCAAAGTCTCCCCCCCCCCCCAATTTTTTCGTTAACCCCCCTTAGATTGTAAAAACTAGTGACACCTCTAATATCTACCATCCCGTGGAGAGTATCTTTTATACCTTAACATCAAGCAGAACTAGACTGAAACTAATTTATACTAGATATTTAAATTTTGCCATATTCGCGATATGGTTGTTAATTAAAACTACTAATTTATTTATATATAATCATCGAATATAAGTTCTCATGTTTACTTATTTTCGTATGATACCAGTGACAAAGCTTGAAGTTTAATACTGGAAGGCAATTAATTTTATTTATTTAAAAACCATAATAAATATTAAGATACATGCGACTTTGACTTTGTATAGTAAAATGTTCAAGTGCTCAATTATCTAAGTTATTGCTCAATTTTAAATTT